AGGGTGAAGGCAACTTGATGACAGCACACATGTAGAGCCGAGTCAGGGGAAAAACTAAAGCACAGCCAGAGCCTCTGCTTTCCCAAAGCACTTGCAGGGCGTGATGTGATGCGATGCCCCCCCCCCCCCCCCCCCCTCCAGTAGTACAGAAAGAGTTTGCAAGCTCCGCAGCTTTCTCATGGCTCCTCCACAATGGCATGTTTGGTAGCTGCCCGTCGGCATTGCTTAATTAGGCGAGGAGTTGATTAATTTGCACTAATTGACAGCTAATTTAAGGACTGGGGGCACATTGGATTGACGTTTGTCGGGGCACAGAGGCTATGTGAGGTCAAGGCAACGCACTGCGGATGCATGGGGGAGCTCCGACTCCCCCTCCCTCTTCCATATGGATAACCAGCTCTGCGGGGACTGACCCGTTTCTCGGAGAGGCTGTTTGGCAGCAGGGAGGCTGCGGGGTGACCGGCAGCCATCATTCAACATATTGAGGATGTCAGGTCGTTTGCCACGTCAACGCTCAGCAGGCTGAATGTTCATCGGTCAGCATCAACAAGTGTCCACATGCAACCAGTGCGAGTGACAGCAGGGTCACCTCCAGGATTTGATGGTTACAACAACAACAACTTAGAATTGAAACATCATCATATGGAATGAACGCGCAGATAATGAGCCTACAGGACACTGAGTGCAATGGTTCACCTTGTAACAAGGAACCCGTTATAAAGTGTTAATATTGAGGCCGACATTTACTCAACCTATTACACATTTGAGGTAGGCTACATATATACTGACATGCTGCAAAGGCTACTTTGTAGGCTAGGGCACATCTTTTTGACAGCTATACAAATGAACAATGTAGGCCAATAACACATGCTATCCTCTTATAAAACATAATACATTGTTAGTGATTTAACTATACCCAACAGTAGGCCTATAAAATTGTTTAAATTAGCTCTACCATGACCAACTACAACAGTAAAATACACTTGCATTATAATAGCAATCAATTCGTATAGGCTACAGACTATAAGGGCCATTTTCCTGCAGAATGAGCCTACTTTTACTTTGCATAGGCTAATATTCATTTTACTTACTACAATGCAGGCTGCTTTTACTTAGGCCTACTTAAGGATCAGACTTCCTCCAACCCCATCGTGCCACGTAAATTGTAAATAGGCCCACCCAACCCAAACGACATTTGGGTTACCTGGTTTGATGCTGTTTTATCCTTTGTACTTGCAACAATGCAGTTATGAATGTTTGCAATGCATTAATAAATACTGAGGGGGTTTCACTTTTTAATAAGCCATCCATTTTGCAGTTATAAGATGTTCACAAATAGATTTCGCTCCACATGCTCCTTTCCAGGTGGCAAAGTGTCATGCTGGAGGAGGATAAACACCACAATTCCACAACTTGGCGGCAACCCAAGTTTTTCTTAAATGGCTTAGGCTATTATTGATCTAAGCATTAGTGGACGCTTTATTAGCCATTAATAAAGAAACGAGTGATAGGCTAAACACTTTTTTAAAGGTTCGATTGGCTCATAATAGTATTTTACAGGACAACATTTTAATTGTTGTTGCTGTTACTTTTGTTTTTATTTAGATCACCTATTGTGCTTTTACATAGACCAAGCAAGCCAACGTCTTCCTGTAACCAGGACATGCTGCGCCCAAGGACCCAAATTCTTATCTGCCTGCAAAACTGTGAAAATTCTCCATATTTTTCGAGAAGGGTGAACCAGGGTCCGCGTGAGAGGCAGGGGGTGAAGTCACGGAGGCAATGGCGGCCTCTGTCCGTGTGAATCGGAAAGACGATTAGGGGCTTATTAGGGGCCTGGGGAGAAGTGTAACTTATTGGGAGTGAGCGACCAGAGCCCCAGCGACATCTCCAGCCGAGAACAGTCCGATGCATTGTCTTACCTAATTATGGCGGATGGACTTCTCTTTGTTTCCCATTCGACATGCCTGTCTGATTCTCTTTTTGCCCGGCCGCTAGCCCCGACAAGGCCGAAGTGTGCTAATTAGAAAAGAAATGGTCCTAGTAATTATGTCAACTCTCATTAACGGGATGACAATGAGCAATATTATTTTTACGCAATGTTTTGTGTAGGGTACCCTGCTTCCAATGCTCATTAAATGGAAAACATGGCCTTGTAGCCGGGAAAGGACTCCCAGGTCGGGGCTCCGAACACGCCCACAGCCGGAGAGGTGCTGCACTTAGTGCACTGTGTCAGATGGAGATATTGCCCTGACTAGAAGTTGAACAGTCTCAAAGTTAACTGCGTTGGCTGCAAACTTAATCATTCAAAGGGATTTTAAAGAAAAGGCAATCATCTTCTCGTTTTAAAACTTTATTAAACAACTCCACAAACTCAAAAAAGAAAAATGCAAATCATGTTTAAAATAGAAATTAGAATAAATAGGGAACATTTAATCAAAGCAGATCTACAAGCTACAGCAAAATTCAGTAGGGAAGTAATAAATCATATGACTTTCCATAAACTTAAAGGCATCTACCTAGGAGGACAACAGGTGCAGTGTGGGCAGAAGACCTCAGCTGTGGGAGTGGGCATTTTGCTCCCATCTATGGTTTGAGTGCAAAGTCTTTGAACTGTGTTGTGAAGGTCTGAACATGTTCAGAGCATATTGGTGAAGGTATATCAGATTCACCTTGCAGTCCCAAATTTCCTGTTGCTTGCAAAAACAAAACTAAACATGTCACTTCTTGGGCCTCTCCAAGATGTTCAGAAACTTGCCTCTGGTCATTTCCCTGGCTGGAAAACAAGAAGACACCATATCACATTTACTTAATTAAATCATTGTAAAGAAATTATTAGGGGAGACCGGGTATGGCTGTAACACTTTTTGCTTCAGCAATTATAACTCACTGAATTTTGGAGCTAGAGTTCTCAAACTTTTATAGAAAGTAGCCACCTTTGTTCTCTACTGACCAGGGTAGGTTGTAAGTTGTAACAATTAGACAAAAGAAGCAAAAATAGATGCCACACTACATGATGTTTTCAAAAACAGATAGAAATGAAATAAAAGAACAATGTTTCTCTCTCACTGTAACAGACGGTGTGTGTGTGACAATGTGTGTGTGTCAATGTGTGTATATTCTTAATCAGAGTCACCGTCAGTGCTTGAAGTGGGCTGGTACTCACCAGTACGCAAAGCACTTCTATATTTTACTCTTTGGCATACCAAGACTTTGTCTTGCGCACTGGAATTTCTCACAAGCTGCCAGTACACTTCTCTGCCCTCTAAATGTTCGGCGGTGATGGAGTATGGAAAAGATTGAGAGCCGATACATACGCCAACATGTGAACAACATGAGAATGAATGCTGGTAACCCTGGAGTGCAGCAAAGGGCACTCAGTAAAATATTAAAATCAAGAAAGTCCCTAGTTGTATGTATAGCACTTTTTAAAGAAGTCTTACAACCCACCCCTCCCTGTGAACAAATGTTTAGCTAGCTGTTTTAGCATAGTGATTTGAAATTAGAAAGGAAAAAATGCATCACATGTTGCCTAAGAAACTACATTTCAATCTAATATAAGTCTAACAATTTTATCTGCAAGAGTATAGCTAGAGACTAAACAAAATACGGTCTTGGTCTAAAGATTTACTTTTTGACCTCAAAATCAGTTTTTTCTTTATATACTCTGAATGTACCTGCTTCCAGACTTGATAACCACCATGCCTCTCTCGGGGAGGAAGTAGGAAAATACTGAAATGATCACTTAACTCCTATCGTATTTCTACTTGGTGGAACTGGTGCTGTTACAACCCTCCCAATGTTACAACCATACCCGGTCTCTCCTATTATTCTTGTAAGAGATCAAGACTCATACACCCTTCGAGCAATCTTTGATATGTTGGTAAAATCAGAAGAAAAAAAACAACCTCCCAGTCTTTACACAACAATTTGACTGCAGCTCAAACCACTTCAGACCCGTTGTTTAGTAATGCAAAGCATGTATTTAATATCTGCAGTGTCACACTGGGAGGTAATTTATACAAACATCTGCTCATTCAGGACATGGAAAACAACATTAAAATGGAGACTAGCTACCAAAGAGTCTTGTGATTTTCTTGATTGCTGTCTCAATGTAGTGAGGTACCGGTACTCAGACCTATGCATGCGTGAAAGTGTGTATGCAATTCACCAAGACGAGAGTGAATAGAAGCAAAATGTCTCCATTAACCTCGATGATGATTGACCTCTTATGATTATGGAATATGGCCATGTCTAAAATAAGTGAGAAATGACATATAAATATAATAAGAATATAAGAATAGGGGAAGCAGTATTAAGGAAAAAAGAGTAATATTCATTTTATCAGTAAAAAAAGACTAATATGTTATAACAATTGACCCTTTAGGCCAGTAGTTTCCAGCCATGTTTAATGGGATAGGAAATAAATCAAAACATATTCTGCTACACAATTATATGTTTATATTTCAAATATCTTCTCCAGTCATTGCTATTTTCTTGAAATTCTGGGACTTTATTCATTCAAACTTGATTTAAAAAAAAAATCAAATTAAACAATCTGAGAAGGGGAAATCACACAGGTTAATACATAAATGTATAGTACTGTATTAAAATGTATGATGACAAGTAGACATTTTTGTTTTGTTTGAAAGGTTTAAAAGATCGGGAACCAATACTTACACTAATAATAACCATTTTCTAGTATTCTGCCTCCTCTGAAAGTTGATGCTGGAGGTTAGAGATACAGCTGACACTGTACCTACATGAGATGAGCCTAAATATCTTCTTGGATTTTCTATTACAATAAAATTCTACAATTTCCATACTGACTTTTCCCCCCTCAGTGACCATATCAATAAATGTAAATGTAAAAGAATGTACCAAAAATTATACTTAACTTATAGTTAAATAATTGACATTATGGTACTGAGTGCAGATATTTCCCAGCTCTGCTCATTTTCCCAAAAACCCTGTAGAGTTCCATTGACATCTGTGATGCAAGTAAAACACATTGTTAAAATCGTTAAAGGCCCTGCACATACCAAGATGTCTGTGTGTGTTAACTCTGATAGTCCTACAACAGAACTGTCCCCGCTGAAGGCCCTTTCTGGTCTTCTCTGGGACAGCAATCATTGCCGAGGTTTTTCTATCAAAGACAAACCCCTGTGTCTCAATGGAGACGTTAGTAACATTCCTGTGGCATCATCATAAACCCTGGAGAGGCACCATCTAGGTACAGTAATTACTCTTTGTTAAAGATGAGAAGAAGAACGGGGCTTTTGACTCCACTGCAGTTTTCATGAGCTGCAAAGATCACCTCAGCGACTCTATTCAGTTTCTAACTAACCTCACACAACATCACACAAATATATGACTACAGAGCAGCAGGACAGGGGGCTGATTTCAAATCTGCATTTAGCAGAAAGTCATCCCACCATCATGATGCCTGCAAGACGAATGTGATCAGGATCTCAGCTGGCCTGCTATGCCTGTGTGCTGGTGTGAAGGGGCCCCGCCTTCTCTGCACACGGCGGCTAATGAAAAAGCCGGGCCAGTTGGTAATTTAGATGAGTTCCCCAGTGTGGAATGATTATGGTGCATCTGGGCGTGGGGGCCACGTCACCTTGAGGTGTCCCTCATTAGGTTAAAGATGATGCTAATTGGAATGGGATGGATTCATTTTGCACTTTGCTGTCGCTTCAAATCACCCTAAACAAAGTCATCAGAGGAGCCCTGGACATGCATAGGGTGCTTTAGATTGAAATGAAGCCATCAAAATTAAGCAAGGGAAAGCAATTACATTGGGATGACCCTAAAGCCACAAGTGCGTTGATGTCACCTTCTTATTAGGAGCAGTTACACTAGGAACGGTGAAGGGTAGCCGTTAATATTACAGATTTTGAAGGTGCCATGCTTCTCTCTCTCTCGTTATCGCCTTCTCCATCTCTTGATGAGCCTGAACTGTAAAACAGATCAATGATGGCTGTGCCACTCCTCCAGAGACCCCTCGCCCCACTGAGCGTCTCATTAATCACAGTGCTGTACAGCCTCCCACTGCTCAGATAGAAATATCATTGATATCATCACATTAAAGACCCAATTAAACATAAATCAGGGCTCAATTTATGATGTGTGGCTCTCTTTTTATAAAAAGAGTTGTGATTGGCATAGTGAAGGTGGGCTCTGTGTTTAAGTAAAGGTATACATAGTGGGACCACTGAGAGAACTACAATACGTCATAGTAAGAACATGCACATGTTTTGCTAATAACACTAACGATGGCTCCGTTTCTATACACCTGTTTTTTTCAGCACTTTTAATTTGTGCATAAAAATACCCGATTGGAAATATTAGCTAAGGTTGTGTGTTGATAAAAGCAAAACATGACAAAGGACAGTGGAAACAAGATTTAGCAAATATCAAATGAAGATGTACACGAACTTAAATGTCCAAGTTTACGCTCCGCTGAAGAGTAGCGGCAAACGAAAACATCAGCAGCATTGCACCCTCATCTTCTGCAATGGTTTAATGGCACCCCGCTTGAGAATTACTGCCAACAACAGTATATCTAAATGCGACAAAGTCATTATAATTGCGGTGGTATCAAAATCATTATTATTATTATTATTATTATCTGTAAATCTGTTTCAAAAATGTGCACTACATTTGGTTGGAAACTTGGCTAGTGTGACAGTGAGCCAGAACCCTGAAGCTGAAGCAGCTAAATGGAATTCATTTATTTTATTATTATTATTACAGCTGCAACATGTCAAAATGTCTTTCATGAAAAGGGCCTATACTAACTGGTAGTAAAAATGTCCAAATGGAATTCTATAGGAAAAGTCTTGGGGAAAATGTGACAAATGGTTTTTCCAAATTCAATTAATTCTTTTTCTTTTTCCTTTGCTGCACTAGCTGTCCAAGGAAGGTTAAAATCAAGGAAGGTTAAACTAGCTATGCTATACAGTGCTCTGTTTCATGTCTTCCTACAAGTTACTTTATTTTAACAAATGATTTATAAAGTTATCTTTGCCACACGTGAATGTACATTTTTGTATGATGTACGTAAACAGATGAGGTCAGATAGCCTCAAAGCACACGCCCAGACACTTACACTCTCACCTACACAAACACTCACAGGCTTTGTCATACAACGGGGGAGATCAATACTGATTAGGGGAACTTAGAGATTTGTTTAGTTGATTAGAAAGGTCAATTACTAATTTTGCACTAAGTTAATCAGCATCTTGTTAGGACTGCCATCCATACTAAATGACACCTTATGGATTCTGTGAGCCATCTCCTTGGCCTGTTGATTTGTTGCTATCTAATTATCATTTAGCCCAAAATGGTCTGAGATTCCGCCACAGTCTACCAGCAGTTTAGTAAACACGGCCCCATCAGCCTGCATATAATAATTTCACCCATGCTCTACAGGGCTTGACTGCAGTCCATTCTTATCTAAGCAATTTAAAATCATTCCCATCCATAAATAAACACAACATGTAGGTTATCATCAGAATGAGGACATGTTGGCAGAGAGGCCACCATGGAGCAGAAAACAGAGGTACCACCAGCTCCCACACCAGCCCAGTAATCCTCTGGCTGTAGATCTGGGGCTGATTATTGCTGCTTAGGTTGCAACAATGGAGATTAACCTATATCTGCAAACAGCTAAATATGCCCTCAGGCTATTTATAATGTCGCCTTTCTTGAAACAGCGAGGGCTAAAACTAAAAAGTAGGAAATTGTGTGGTGCAACCTAAAATGTTTCTGCAATTTTCTGTTCTGCACTGGCAGCAATCATTTTCATTTGGAAACTCCCAGGTGGCTGGAATGTAAATGCAGAGGAAACGCGGTGGTGTAACATCTTACTTTTCCCTCGTTTACGGTGAGTGATCTGGGTGTCATTGTCACAGATCACTCCCAACCCCCACAACGACTCCCCTGTGTATAAAATGAGAGTAATCATCACCCCCCCTGCCTGGCTGCCTCTCTAGATGGCACACTCCTGCTGAGCCGCTGGACCCCTGTTTAGCTCCAAAGACAGATGACCACCTGGGTTAACTGGAGTCCCGGACCCCGGCCCTGACTGCCCCAATTCACTTTCATTAAGAGTTAAGGGGACTTACCTGAACCTCACTGCCCATCTCCTAGTGCTGCTCAGCTATTACAGCCTGTAAGCTTTATTTAATGGATTTAAAGTCCTCTTTCACCCCCCTCTTCTCCAGGGACAAGGGAGACACAGAGGAGGTCCACACAAACACACACGCAGAAGCACTTGGAGGCACACACATTCAGCCCACCCACCCCACCACATACACATGACGCTCATGTTTGTGTTCAAAATTCAATTACCCACTTATTGATACTTCACAGGGATATTTAAGATGCAGACACAAGCTGTGATTTCCCAGGGGAGCCACTGGTTCCTCTTTATGTCCCAACCGAGAGGGCCCACCCCTCCTCTCCTCTAATGCATTTTCGCCTGGCAGACACACACATTCACACACCAAAACAAACACATCTGCACCTCCCAACCCCTGCCCCAGCCTATGCCTGTTCAAGAGGTGTCCTTATTAATAGGCAATCAGTCAAAAATCATTCATTAAAAGCCTAAAAGGTTTTACACCCGCACTATGATTAGCTGGGAAAGAAAATCCAATGAATTCCTAATGCCTTTATGGAAATGAGGTGTCATTTCCGATCTGCTCAGGGAGGCGGCAGGCAGGCAGAAGTGAGTTGTGGTGTGTGAATGTGTCTGTGTGTGTGTGTGTGAGTGTTAAGCTCTGCCTGCCTCTGCTTTCACACAGCTCCGACACTGATCCTGCTTAAGATATGGACAGGCTCTATCAGATACCAGCGACCTGCTACACCAAGGATGGAGAAACTCATGTCCTCCTGGTACAAAATGTGTGTGGAACTGCTAAAGATTTTCCAACAATGGGAATCCATCAATATAGTAGCAGCAGTATTATGAAATAGCACTCCCAGTAATTAAAAAGGTATTACTATGGGGACCAGTTTGAGAGCACCAACCATACAAGGGTACAAAAATACAAAACCTGGGCATTTAAATTAGATGCCCAGGTTTTATCATCTTTATATCTATTATATTTTTGCATCCTTGATCCTTGTTTCCTTACAGTCAGCTTCAAAGAGACGCACCCCAACACTGCCATTCATCGCGACTATGAGCCCACAGAGACACAGGGAAGAGGTGAAAAGACGAGCAAAGAGGAGTACTAGAGGAGAGAAAGAGGAGGATGGCTGGCTGTGGCTGTGGGGAGGCATCCCCTGTTCCTCATTCAGCGGCTGTCAGCTCAGGTACTTCATAACCGCCCGCCCTGCGGTCAGCCCGCCTGATGGATTGATGGAGGCACATTAGCACCAGTGGGGCCCAGTGAATGCAATCATATTCAGCAGCGGCATGCTTCTAATAGGCTGGAGATTGATCCTAAGGGTGAGGAGGAGGTGGTGGTGGTGGTGGTGAATGCTGGGGCCCATTAGGAGCTGTCAGAGCAGGGCGACCTTCAGCCTCACCTTCACACAGGGGGATGCAACAGGGGTCAGCCCGAGTCTATGCGGGGTGGCGTCATGGCGCAGGAGAGGTGCTCTGTGGTGGTACATGAGAGACAACAGGTGGCAACAACACCCAGAACACACTGAGTGATGCTGTTTTCATGTTAACTAGATATCAAAGTTTTTTGTTATCACTGTGATATTACTTGCATGTAGGCTTTTCTTGGGAGTAACAGTTGAGTGACACATTTTTTCATGCGTTTGATTTTTTTAAGGTGGCAAAATCTAGTTTTTGAAAAGGTATATGCCTGTAGACAAAATTTTTGTAAGATTATCATTGCTGAGTAGCAGCTTTCTCATTGTTTTCAGTTTATGAAGCTACCCAACCACCACAACAAATTTTTTTAACAATGTGAACATCCTCTTCAGGCTTGACCTGGCCCCTATTTTAACAGAGGATTTTGTAAATATATTCCGAATTACCCTATAAGCACTTTATTAATGTCCTTGATTTGATTTTAAAGGGTACATTCATAGCTTCTATTCAACTCCCTGTTGTGAGTCTGTCAAAGACACAGTTCACTTGAACTTTTTTTTACAACTGCCGCCTTAAGCGGTGGATAACAGACTTTACAACTTTGGCAACCAGTATCACAGACACAAAATCCAGTACTGACAACTGTGCTAACAAACATAGTCTACAGTAGAAACATTTCCTAATTAACAGCACGTAGTGTTAAATGGTATTCAGTTGCCTTGAGCCCACAAGTGTGATAGAGCACCATCACCAAATCCAGCAGTTGGGTGCTCCAGGCCCTCCAGCACATCCCAAAGGAGCACTCAGCTTTCAATTACCTCCAATAACAGCACTTATCAGAGTCCTCTGTGTTCCCCAGAGACTCGAGGCTTGATACTCGTACTCAGCGGCCCACGACAGGGGCATTCATCATGGGGTGGAGTAACAGCTGGGGCCCGCGGAAGAGGCACGCGTCAAGCCCCTCCGGGACTAGACCCGGGCCAGAGTCACACAGCTATTATTGGGGGTGGGAGGTATGTTACATCCCCCCTTCGCAACCATGTTAATACATATGTAAAAACATGAGTATACAGCAGTATGTGCACAGTGCACCACTTGGAAGCAAAAGCAGAAACTACAGCTAGTGCTGCTTAGGTGTATTCTAGGCGTAGGGGAATGGTGTTCTTGTAATAATGTTTGGTCCAGGTTCCATTTCTTATTGCAGGACGGTGGGCGAGTTTTCACTGCTTGATTGTGTTCTGCCCATTAACCAGCTTCCTCTTTAATGGTCCACATGTTGAAGGGGGAGGGGCAGTAAATCCTGTCCCCTGCCCTCGCTCTGCTGTGCCTCTGTGGAGGCTCGTTTACGGGTACTGAAGAGTGCACAAACATGATGAAAAAGTAGCTGAGATTTACAAGGCCTCCCCTGACAGCCAGGAAAAGGAGAAAATTAAACCAGAGAGCATTAAACAGGCACCCATTACAGGGCTGCTCCGACACCAATAATAACCATCGTTGTGTCCCGTCATCCCGAGGTACATGACATGACTGCAAAGCCTGCAGGCCTGCACCTGTGTCGGCTAACAGCTTTATGCCAAGCAGATTACACGCTTCTCCGGGTTTAGAGAAGTCATGGAGATTAGACACTTTTTCAACAAAATGAATTTGCGACTTGTGGCCCATGCAAATACAATACACGCTCCACAATCGATAGCCTATTAATGCGCGATTACACTTATCTAGGCTTTTGTGATTCCTGTAGTAAGTATATTTGGATATATGTGCATTATAGCATTGCGGCAAAAACTTCAGTCACTCTGGATTCAACTCACTTCCCTACAATCTGATGATCTCTTTAGATAATTAAAAAGTTTCCCCTTATGAAACTCTTAAATTTCATCAAAGCCTTTCCATATTAATTTGATACATAAATACAGCACATCTTTATGGAGTTTTACTAAACAGTATACTCATTACAAGCCATTACAAGCAGACCGCAAAGCAACATTTCAACTGCTCTTTCAACTAAATGTCTGCATCAGATCACATGCCCCCCCCCCCCCATCTATAAGCACATGTTGGCTGAATTTAACTGCATTTATTTATACATTCCACCCCAGTAAGGAAGGGGGCTACACCACAGTTCTTCATTGCTTGTGTGCTTTTTGTGCTGAAAATAATTCTGTAAATACCCATTTTTCTCTTAGGAAAATATGAGCACTTAGCTATCTCTCTAATCCACACTCCATAAGGATTATGACAATGGAGGCAGTGGGGAATGGATTAAAAACTAGGTTTTGCATCCATCAAATGCTTGAGCACTTTTTGTATGGGCTCTGGTGTGCCCTTGTTTCTTACCTTTTCCAATTCAACAATATTGACCTAAATCCATTATTTGACTTAAATTAAGAGCTCAAAGTGACTTTGACAATGTAGAGTTGATTTTAAATGGCAAAGTTTCAGTTTCTGCATTATCCATTCTGTCTTCAGATGAAAAGATACATGCCTATGTGCAGTCGCAGCCTGTTTGGGCTTCGAATGTGAAAGCACACAATGATGCTGATCACAATGATGTCAATTTATATATTTATATATATACAATATTCTCTCCCGCTGCACTACGTCTGCACAACACAAACCCTGAGTAATGAACATATAAATAACTTCCACATTGTCTCTCTCTGCACATCGTTGTATTATTCTCTATTCTTTTATTTTTTTATTATTCTTTTATAACTTCCTTTGTTTATTCCATATTTATATATTTATTTATGTCAACTGTATGTTTGTCTACGTGTAGCACCTTATCGCCAAAGCAAATTCCTTGTAAGTGTAAAAAACTACTTTGCAATAAAACTCTTTCTGATTCTTATTCTGTTAAATCTACTGACTCAATACAAAAAGGCTATGAGCACCATCTAGTGGTAACATGTGACTAACTAGGCGGCTGGTGATTAACCTCAAATCATGTGTTTTGCACCAGTTATCTGGGCATTTGCCAACGTGTCACAAGTGTTTTAGCAGAAAAGGCAACAAACCAAAACATGTTAACATCAAGACAGCTTTTTAAAATTGGACAAACAGCTGTACAAATACACTGCACATTGTATGGTTTGTATAGTTCATGTACTTACACTCCTCTAAGCCCAGCTGGTAAGCGAGGTTCTGAAGTCCTTTGACCTTCTCCATCAAGTTGGCTGTGGTCAGACTACCCAGCTCTACAGGACCCATAATGAAAACTCTTAGCTAAATGTAGCAAGTCTCAGCAAAATGTTATCCCATTTGACAGGTGTATATGTTAAAGATTATTTCTGTCCACAATCTTCAGATGCACTGAAAATGTTACAACACTTACCCTTCAACATTTCAATGTCCTCATTCTCTAGTTCAGCCATCCACTTGGGCGGCGAATTAGTGATGGGCTGTGATGTAAGACATAACAAAGTAGACAACTCGTGAAATATTTATAGATCAGGCCTATATCACAGTATGTCATTGTCAAGGCTATTTAATTATGTAGTTTGTAAATCACCCAGCGATTCCTACTCACATTTTTACAAGATGCAGCAAATTCTGAAACTCCGGGCACTGTATGAGAGATTACAGGATAATCAAGATCACAATCCCATAGTGAGTAATTACACAAGAGCAGGGGTAATGTATAACTTACACTGCTCTGGCCACAGGTCTGGTGACGCTCTGTCCAACTTCTCAAAACTCAGCAAAGAGGACTCAAAATCATCACCTGTCACGGCACAAAAAGTATTTTTCTATGGGGAATGCATAAATTGCATATTTGTAAATAATGCAATGACAGAGTTAATAAAAAAAAGTGCAAGCAAAGACAAATACTGGTGGTGGTTTAATCCAAAGTAATGGTGTATATATTTTGTTGCATGTATATCTCAAAACAACAAAAGTCTCAAAATGTGACTACTATAAGGCTGCAACTAACGATTATTTTCATTATCGATTTGCCTGACGATTATTTTCTCAATTAATCGATTAGTTGTTAGGTCAAGAAAAAAATCTGTGTTCTTCTTCTTATCCCATTATTGCATGTTACTAACACAACTTCTCCCCTTTCTGGTAGTCTGGCTTTCTCGTCTCTCTCGTCTCTCCTCCTATCACTTCCTGCCCCCCCCCCCGCTCTCTCTCTCTCTCACCCTCACCCCAACCGGTCGAGGCAGATGGCCGCCCACCCTGAGCCATGGTTCTGCTCGAGGTTTCTGCCTCTTAAAAGGAAGTTTTTCCTTGCCTCTGTCGCCTAGTGCTTGCTCTTGATGGGAACTGTTGGGCTTCTGTAAATAACATCACAGAGTACGGTCTAGACCTGCTGTTTTATGAAAAGCGCTGTGAGATAACTGTTGTTGTGATTTGGCGCTATATAAATAAAATTGAAAAATTGAAATTGAATTTAAAAAAGGACTCAAAGCAATTAATCATCAAAAGAGTTGGCAATTAATTTAATAGTTGACTAATCGATTAATCAGTGCAGCTCTAGACTACTAGGGTTAAAGCAATATAGCTGGCCTTTGATTTCATGTTGCAAACAGGCCAAGCACTGTCTTTAACCTCTGGTCCAAGAGGTTAAAGACTGGTTTTGAAACAATAAATCCTGTAGTACCTTTTTGGTAAGAATGTTTTATCTAGTCATTAGAATGTTACCACTCTATTATTCATTTCTTCATCAAAACAGTTTGACATGTTGCTTCTCTCTCCTGTGAGGGACCTGGTGCAAGTCTATAATAAACAAGATCTAACTGTTTCAGGTGTAAAAGAATCCATTAATAGTATACAGTGAAGAAAAAAGGTTACTGTAGAGCAGCAGCCTTTAATGAAGAAAACATTCAGGAGTTGTTGTAAAGTGCACAGATTATAATATCAAGATAACATGTTTGTGTTTAATCTGACATGAAAATTGCCCCCGTTCTAATGCAACTTTCATGCAACACAACATTTTGGTTGTCATGTAACGTTACTCTATGTTATATAAACACAACTTAGCCACATTATATGGTAGCAGGTAGAAATGCATATACAAAACGTATGATTTGAAATATAATGGCCATCATCGTGGAAGACAAAATTTGCGTTATATGTTCACATAAATACTTTGTAAAATGTAAACTTGATAATGTGTCTATGTCATATACATATTTAATATAATTCGCTTAGTCACAATGGTTAGACAACTGCAGTTTAACAAGAGCATGGGGGCAACTCGGTTTAATGTCATAATACAGTAACTTGACATTAACGTTGTGCGCAATCAAATCGACTACCGAAAGTAAAATCCATAACTGATCACGATGTTGTCAAACAAAACACTAACTGTTACACATAATATAATAGAGGTTATTTAGCCTAAATATATTACAGCAGCAAGCTTCCTAATATAGCTATGTTTATAGCTAGCTTCACCCACAGTTTCAGCTGTTTGATGGGTTGAAGCTTGCTCTCTAACGTTAACATTACTGTTTCCCTGTCCACACAGGGTAGACACAACACTGGGCAAAACATCTCCAAACAGTAAAAATACAGCGCTAACATGTGTATCCGGTCACCTCTGGTTGTTCGTCTGAGACAGCATACCAGTCGCTAACGATTTAACGCCCTTAAACGTGTTAAATTTACAATTTATACACAGCATAGCACGGTAAGGAATTAGAATTTACCTCCATTTGGAGACGCCATCTTCAGAATAAACACGTGATAAACGGCAACCAATGACAGCAGCCGTGCTCGGAGTTGACGCGTAGCGGTGTACTGCACAAACCCGCCACCAGGCGACGCACTGGTTCATTTTCAGAGCAGCTTAAGGTGAAGCCAGATGTATAAAAATACATTATGTACATTAACATTCACAACATTACCGCCTCCTTTGGCTACATGAATGTGTTAATATTGCTGCATGTCAAGCAATTCTTTATAGTTTAATTTTCACGTTTTTAGCCATTGAAGTACATCATTCCCTGTTTATAAATAATGAAGCAGTCTCTGACAGAATCAGACTGTAAGGAGTTATTTACACTCCATGGTGGTTTATTAAAAGTGACTGAAAGTAGTGTGTTCTGCACTTCTGGCTGTAGTAGTGAACAATACCATTGATTGTGAACAACTGACACTGAAAAATCCAAATTCTCAATGGAAGTTATCACATTTTAGTTAGGCCTAGTTAAGTTTCATAGTATTAATCTCACTTCCATCATCACACATAAACTAACAGAACACTCCCTGATCAGAGATAACAATAAGAATGTGCCTTTTTTATGTGTTTTTTTTTCATTACTGTATTGTCATGTCCTATTTACTTCTGTTTTGTTGTCCTACATTGTTATACTATACCTGTCTTATGACGTTTGGCTGTAGATATCTCTTCGTATCTTGGCCAGAAGACTCTTGAAAAAAAGATGTTTACTCTCAATAAGGTTCTCCTGGTTAAATAATAAAAAATAATAATACATATCTCATGAAAGTGTGCAGTACATATTTATGTATATATATGAAGCAGTTTCTGGTTTAAGCTAAATTTATGGTCTAATGTATTGATGACATTAACAAAAGTAAGCACATACTACAAGAATATCTTCGTTTATTGGTCATTCTGAAATGTACATGACACTTAAGAGTCAGTAGTCCTATTATAATAATAATAAAACAGAAGCCAGTACTGAACAGCACTAATACAAAAATACTGGACAATAAGATTATGACAATCGCAAACAAAAATACAGTCTCTGATAACTATGTAACAAAAAGTGTTTTCTTTAAAACTGACAAATGGAAATGCAGCATTTGAACTTTTCGGATTTACTTTCACTAGTTCCTTTCAGGCACTTTAGCTTATTATTGTGACAGACAGTATACACATATATAGCATGTAAGATGACTTAAGGCAGCTTGGTAGCGATGAGTGTTCAGATCAAATACTCCCACAGCACACTGGCTTTCATATTGCACTAACACAGGTCTGTCTTATAGAGCATCCTTTTCACATTATAGACTACAATACTTGGAAATGATGAGACATATAAATACCCAGAAATGTAGATTCTATAGTAGCGTGCAGTCAGTACTTATGAAAATTACCTTTTTGTGTAAACCCTATAAGAGCATATCCGTGAGACACACGATTGATTAAAGTCCCTCATATTCACCACAGTTGTTATACATCACAATATTAGTGTCTTCTTTGTGCAAAGCTGACTAGAACTCCCAGGAGTCCAACCACTTCCGGCCAGCCATGGCGCTGCCTGGCTCGTGTGCCAGAGGACCCGTCATGCCATAGGAGAGTGGATGGAACAGGTAGAAACTGACAGACAGAGAATGGATTACAGTGATTTGTATACACAGTAAAACAAGTGCTTTTGAACTGCTCTCAGGTAATATAAAATCCCAACAGTAAAGTTTTAAATTACATTTTGAATACTCAGTATCAGTCAACCAGGGAGAAATCCACTACAAGTGAATAAGATACCACTTTCTCCTGTGACTCTTTGCCTCAAATGACCACATTGCAACAGACAAGCTGGTTTAAGCGATATGACTGTTCGACACTTTGGGAAATATGTATTCGCCTTCTTTCCAAGAGCTAGATGAGAAGATTGAGACCACTCTTGTGTTTGTTCATTAAATGTAAAAATGTCAAACCATTACATTAATTTCACTTATTTTCTCTTCATCTACAAGTCAGATAGAAGCAAGTGTGCAAATGATTTTTTGTATTTTGAATTCAATTCAAGACCTTTATTTGTCCCCGAGGGGTAATTAGTTTTGCCGCAGTAGCAAAGAACGTGACATACAGTACATGACAACAATGAAGACAACATCGATTAAAAATACAGGGTCAGGCATATGGGTAAATAAATACCAGAACATAAAAAAAAAAAATTAAGTTCAAGTGTGCCTTATGTGCAGACGTTACCTATTCTTTACAGAGTTAAGCAGAGAGATAGCAGAGGGTATGAAGGAGAATTTATATCTGTTTGTTATGGCTTATGGTGGACTGAAACGGGAACCAGAAGGCAGCATCTTAAATTCTGCATGCAGGGGGTGAAAACTATTCGACATGAAAGATTCTGCCTTTTTAAGCACAGGTTTGATGTACAGTTCAGTTAGTTTTACCTGCTCAATCCCGATGAATTTCCTGCTAACTTTATTTACCATTGCTAATGTGTTTTTACGTTTTAGACTAAGAGAAGCATACCAGCAAATACATGAAAAAGTAAAAACAGACTCAATAAAACATTTATAAAACAATCTCATCAGGGATCTGTCCACTTGAAACTTCGCTAACTTTCTCAAACAGAAGAGACGTTGCTGACTTTTCTTACTCAGCATGTCTGTGTTTTGTTCAAGGTCAACTTGTTATCAATGATGATTCCCAGATACTTGTACGACTCAACAATTTCAACCACTTTTTCATTTATAATTGTCTTTTTCAGGAGTTGGATGGTGATGTCTAAAATCAATGCACGTGTCCTTCGTCTTTGTAACATTTAAATCTAAAAAGGCTTCTTTGCACCAGTTTAAAAAATAAGGCAATACAGATGGTTCAGTGGTGTCCATTAAATTTACTATGACAGTGTCATCTGCAAACTTTACAATGTAATTATTCCCCCTTTTGGGAGTCACACTCTGATTAAATACTGTTTGACAGTGTATGAATGAACCACAATAACGTTTTCTTTAACAGTAATTCTCACCTGTAAAGAACACTAAAGAGAAGTGCCATCTGCCCGACTCGCTGCAGCCAATCACAGTAAGGCGGGCGGAGTAGCAGGTCAGCGTTTTTCAACAGAATGTCTAATGTAATTCCTGTGAGAAAAAAACCCCAAAAAGCTTTAACCAGAACTTCCTTGATGGAACCCATGGATGTACAGTAACTATCACTGGGTTACTTGATAACCTGATAATTCTCAGGCAAGTTCTGGAGATTAAAAGGGAATGGAAAGGATTCACAGAGATAATAAAATCCTCAATAATTATATAGTCACACTGAATCTAAAAATATGTGTATGTCTATGTGTTATTAGGGTTATGCAAATTTCAGCAATCGTCCACAAATACTTTAGTTGCCTTTAAATGCATGCAGTATCTTTGCCTCACATCTCCCCACCCAAAACCCCTTTCCACTCTCCCTGTTAGATTGAAAACATGTGGACTATGTAATATAAGTAGCCAAATGCAGTGGAATGTGGTACCTGTTAGCATGCTGCTGAAGAGCATTGCAGGGAAGTAGTGGTGGTAGTACAGGATACGGCTCATAGTATAGAAAGGTGCATAGTGCAGCAGCCAACCGAGGAGCAGCAGTCCTCCTTCTCTCATAAGCATATGAGAATGGTCTGAAAGACAGAGTGGAGTGCAGAACATTTATTTGATGTTTCAATCATCTTTATTTCCTGCTGCTGCAAGCAAAATCAGTGGCGCAAAACATTTGTAGTCATACCTGTTCTTTTTTGGCACAATGAGAAACCTCTTTTGAGGGCTACAGACGCCACCGCCACCATGATAAGATACAATCCCAAACTGGCCAGGTTCATCCACCAGACTACCTGAGAAAAAGCATTTAATCACGAGCGCATTAATGGTCCTTGGTCAGACAAGAGCGGCAACAGGAAAAATGAAGTAGGGATGCAACGAAATGAAAATCCTTGGCAGAAGACGAAACCAAATTTAATGAAAAAATTTGCAGAATACCGAACAAGTACATTCACACCTTTTCCATTTATTTTGTCTTTTTGAGTCAAAATTTGCTTTTTATTCAGTGTTTCCCACAGAATATGGAGGGACTATGGTGGGTGGGTCTGAGGCCCAAAAGGGTCCGGGAAAGTAAAGTGAGTAAGTAAGTGTCTACTTACTTTTAATGTACACATGAAGTAATGTGTTTTATACTTTCTGTGAATATAATCCAATTAATCTTATTTCCATCCTGTATAGACACCCTTTTTTGAAAAACGGACGTTGTCACATGTGTATCCTCCCACTAAATTCTTCAATTCCGACCCAATTCGATAAATAATGTTTTATGTGTTTCTCGTATCGCGTACCATGAAGATTTCACAGCCTCTCAGGTAGGACTCTCATATTGCAACACTTGTCTTTGTAAAGAGAGAAAATGACAGGATAAAGATGCTACCCTGCCTGTCAAAGCGGGTCAGACCATTTGTTGCCTTTTCTAAGAAGTCAGCCCCAGATGGAGTGGGGCTGTGTTAGGAGACAATTCAGCAGAACAATGTCTGCAAGCAATTTTTGCCTCTTTCTCGGACACTTTAAAATGCTTCCACACTGCCGACATGTCAAGGTAATTGTTTGGTAAAATGCGTTCGGTATTTTGACTTATTAGGCCAAACACCGAAAGTGCTTTGTTTTTGTTGCTATTTTCGGCCGATTAATTTCATTGACCAAACATGTCGTGCATCTCTAAAATGAAGCAAGCCTAAAGCAGACTTACAGGGTTCCCCAGCAGGTAAACACGATACTCTGTGTCATTCACTCCAGAAAACCTCAATCCCTTTATAACAAAAAGAAACCAAGCACATATGTAGTTAAAAGTAGTAATGCATTTAATTTAACAAAACTTTATATTGTAGATCATTCAATGTACCTGATAGTTGATGGGCCAATGCCAGGGTTTTGAGTTCATCTCATTGTCTTTGGGTTTCAAGCCGCTGTTACCCTAAAAGAAATCGTTTATGTTAATAAATGACTTCTGATAAAACCCCAACTTCTTAGCACAGATGGATTAACATATTTTCTCACGGTTTCTTACTCTTATCATAACAATGTGGGACTCCAGTAAAATCTCCAGAAAATGGGGCTTCAGCACAGACAAACTAATGTTGGGCACTGCCAGAAAATACAAAGAGGTATTGGTTAGTGTTTGACATGATGAAGCACAGACAAAGACGTGGAAAGGACTGTATTTAACGCACATTTGGGGTTTATGTGATCTTCGATGTTCCACTGAGAGCTTGGAGTCTCCTTCAGGTAGGGACTACAGGTCACCTCCACCTGTTCCCAGCCCCTGAATAGAAACAAAACACACACTTTTTGACTGTCCGTACTCATAGTGACTATTCAGTAGAAACGGAGGTTGAGTCAAAGCGGAGAAGACGAGTTTTACCACTTTGGGAGAGTCTTGCCAGACGAGTAAAGCACACAACCGGTAGCTCTGTGCAGAAAGCGGACTTTGCTGCGCAGCACCTTCACCAGGTCACCCTTCCGACCTCCGCACACCTCCACCTGCCACAGGTCATTGGTGTCACCTGTACCATTCTAAGAAGAACATGTGTTTTAAGCTTGGGGACATACAAATACATAATTATTAATGCTGAATAAGGAATGTTATGGGCCTACTCACAATGCCATAGCCTGTAACCTGGAAGTGTTTCTTGGTCATGGGGGCCTCATGGAGGTGACTGTGTAGGTTACGGGTTGTTCTAAAAGGACCAGAAAAGATTGCTATTATTGAAGCAACATGCACATCATCATTATAAATAATATGTTTATCATTTCATTGCTTTGTGGAGCCACGATACTTACTCTTTGTGCTCCAGCCGAATGATGTCACCATGACGAACCAGATCAGGCTTCCCAGATTTAGCTTAACAGACATAAAAAAATATAACTTAACATTCAGAGGTTCATCCATTACTTCTTTATGACTGCCATAAAATGAAATGAATGCCATATGTATTTCTGAAACCCAGTCTTCTCACATTCATTATCACCCTGTCTGTGAACAAGCCACAAGTTGTTGTAGTCTTTGTGGAGATAGGCTGTCACCTGTAAGGAAATAGCAGAGAAAACTGTTTATTTACAATAAATAAAATCATCACACATATTGTTCGCATATTTAATTATGTTTGAAAAGGTTTCACACTTGAGCCTGTAGCCTGACCTGCTGCTGCCTCGCTCCCGCTCCCTCTGGGTATAGGTGCCAGTGAGAGTGCAAATAGCCTCCAGCAATACGAAGGTTTTTTACTGTAACGGTGGAGCCGTATGCCAGGTCTGCATTAGAAGAACAACATTAAAGTGCAAGAAACAATTACATTTAATGAAAAATGTTTACATTTTGAAACGTCCTTCAAACACTAGCCAACTACAGAACCCTGCATAAAAAAGCACAATGAACTTTATTAGTAAAGACCCCAATATGTTACTTTGTGAAGACAGTAAAATGTAAGCAAACGTTTCAGCCCATCTGGCTGTCATCAATAATCTAAAGGAATGCCTACATTTCTCTTTGACCTCCTTTTCCATTTCCTTACTAGTGTTTTAGTAAATACAGCTGCAGCGTCATGTGGTTTTATTCACACGTGTTTGGGACTCACACTCAGGCATTGATGCATTGTGTAGATTGTTCCCGATTAGACGGGACTGAAAGGCTGAACTGAAGAAACCGTCACCCGGTCCACTGGTGAAAGAAAACAATCATGATTACCCAAACAATGCAGCAGATGTCATCATGCAGTATCGTGTGAGGTGAGCAGTAATCACTCAGACCCACCTTTTGTTCAACACAACAAAGTGGACGGCAAATATTGTTACATAGAGGAAGAGCGGAAGCAGGATGAGTCCAACAACCCGAGCCAGGAAGTGTTTTGCAAATTCCACCTGGAGCAAGAAAATAAGACAAGAGCTAAACAGTCAAGCCTCTGGCATTACTCATCAAAACTATCAAGTTACTAGTGCCATTAGAAACACACTGCCTGTTACCAGTGAAAGGCTCAGGTCTCCCAAAAGTCTCCAGAGGTCCCAGACCGTGTTCAGTCCCACCAGCAGGATGACAAACAGACCCACAAACTTGACGCCCAATGCCCCAGCAAGGTTTACACCAGTCAGTACCAGCCACAGCCACCAGGAGGCAGAAAAAGGCCTGAAAACAACAGCAAGCAACGATCAATCACACCTGTTTCACTGCTTACAAAGTTAGAAAAATTACTGTATTTATGTACCACCCATGAAACATTATGAGCAAGCAAGATTTGTTCCTCTTGTAAGGCAGACTGATATTGCTTCAGAACTGTAACTAAATGTTTTATCATACTGATTAAATTACCTCCCCACCCCCCCCACCCCCTCAAGCAATCAGTTAATCATTTGGTCAACAAAATCTCCCACATAAAGACAGATGTCCATCACAACACACCAGATCTACTTCAGCAGTAATCAACATAGAACGGTGTGAAATAGGAAATAAGGAAGTCATCACATATGAGAGGCTACAACCAGTCACTCCACATCACATCACTCATTGATGATTAACTTGATTATCAACTGATTATCAAAATAGTCACCCATTAGCTAATAGATCCACCACTACATTGCATAAGACAAGATAGAAAAAAAAACTAGTGGTGTTCTACCTGTATCTCTGTTGGCTGAACTTGACCATGCTCAGCACCGCTGCCATGATGAAGAACATGAGTATAGGGTCCAACAGGATGTACTGGGAAATGGTGATACAGCCAGTGTCTGTCAGGCGAGTGAAATTACGCACAAATTCATTCTCCTTATTGCAGCATAATAAAAGCATGCTGCAAGACCTTTCAAAACACTGAATGATATGAACTTTAAATAGTTGTTCTTATTCATTTAGGTTTCTGTTAGCAAGATCAGCAAAAGAGACCTTAAAAGAAATTAAAACAATGGCCAATATGGAAAATGACTTAACGTCACATTTCTAGTCCCAAAATGTTATGTGCAGGTTCCATCCAGAGCTACACCATGTGTCTTTTATTTTTTAAAGAACAAGGACATTGAAAGGTTGAGTACTTAGTGTATTGCAACTTCAACATGCTTCTGAGTCACGCAACCCCTTAAAAACACTTACAGGAGATGAGTACTTACCAAATATGAGCAGGGTTGCAGTGATGAGAGCAGCTGTGGGGGACTGAGACAACTCTAGCACTATGAGGTAGGCAAAGATTGGGAGAAAGGAGCCCAACACAGCACAAAACTGTAGGGCAAGAGGCAGGACAGAGACATCAACAGCCTTAATATGTTGTCCTTTTTAAACGTTGTGAGAAGAACATATAAATGCATTGTTAAACAATTTTAAAAAATCGGGATACCCCTCTCATCCCCCAGTAGTTGTGGTGTTCATATTTATCTCCTGGCTTTATGAAAGGAAAGGTGCCATCATAACCTGTCATGTAACCGGCAAGTCCTATCAGCATCTGCAACAGAACACAAGAAGATCAATGCTGATCCTAGAGAGGTTTCACTTAGGACACATGAACCTACAGGGAGGAGATAATCTGCCATCTCACTTTTCCAAGAGGAGGATGGACATCGAAAAAGAAGGTCCTGTTGATGTAGTAGCTTCCCATCTTTCCAAAGTGTGTCTCATCCCAGCTGAAACACCATAAGAAGGTCATCATGTAAAAATGCCATGCAGAAAAATCTACATGCAGAGGACTTTTACTCACCACACATGAGGGGGCTCTGTTATCTTGTAGAGGCGTGTAGAGAAAGACAGCCCCACCACCAGCATCAGCAACACTCTGCTTTGGGGCTTACTACTGAAATTTCCTCTGCCTGAAAACTGAGCAGACGCTCCATTTGAGGACTGGGTGTCATCTTCTGACAAGTGTCCTGCAGTTTGACTGCTTCTGTTCTTTGGCAAAGGAAATATTTTCCTGTTTCGTAGTGATGAAGCGTTCCCTATTTTGTTCCACTGTGTGTTGCATTCATTTGCCATTAGGAAATAAAAACTGTAGTGGAAATGGCCAGACTCCCTGGCAAGCGAGGTAAGCCTAATATTTTGGTGACACTAACGTTAACGTTACCTAATCATATAATAAAAACAGCTAGTTAATCAGTGATGTCTAGATGACGTGAAGCTGTGCCATCTAGGATAAATAACTACATTTAGCAAAGATATTAAAAAGATTTAATACTGGCCCATCAGGTAACAGTTCTCAATATAGTCTGTCAAACCAGGCGACACTGACAGTGAATGTCACACCTTTCCTACTCAATAAATTGTCAGACATAATATTTGTCAATGTCGCCAAGCTATGAAAAACATTTTCCTCGATAACGTACTTATCCTAGCTTGCTACTTTCTAACCAAGTATCCACTCGTCAAATGGCAGCATCAGTAACAGCTAGCAGAATGCTAACACTCTCTATCGCCTCAAATCACCGTTTTATTATTAAAATAGTTACATTAGCAACACAGCGAGAGCACGAGAGGTTGTTGCCAGGGGGGTAAGCCAGAGATCGGACAGTGAAGCCGACCAAAGCCTGCATGGAGGGAGAAACACGTACGAAGCGAAGAGGTTTCTGGGAGGTGAATGCCATTGTAATATTTATGTGGGCATTTTGTTGAAGAGTAAACACAATTTCCCAGAATCCTTCTGGAATATCTCCTCGTTCGCCGGTTAACCAATGGGAAAAACTTATGGAAAAGCGGGAATCTATTGGCCACTAGAGGGAGATATAGTGTAATAAATAATTTCATTGTTCTTTTCTTTTTCTTTCTTCTTAAAAAAGAAAAAAAAAACGCTGTAAGATTAATACAACGGGTATTTCCGGTCCCCAGTTCTGACTTATTCATAGTCTAGATTCTGGAGAATTAAAGTGCAGTTGCTCACCTACCATTGGTTAGTTCAATTTTGAGGTACCCATAAGTACTCTCGTTTTCTTCCACGTAATACTTGCACTTCACTACAATTCAGAGGAAAATATTGCACTCTTTACTGCACTACATTTATTTGGCTCTTTCCAGATTAATATTGTACACAAAAAATAATAAGCTTTCATAAAATGTTGCATTGTGATATATTAAACTATCCAAAAGTATAATTAGCTCCCTCTTGACCTGCTGCAACATAATAATGCTGTTTACCTGCTAGTCCATCAAAATAATGCTTTAAAAAATCAAATAACAGTGCTCTTTGCTAATTGAACACCCTGAAAAGGGTACTTTAAGCATAATAAATACTTATGAGACCTTAATGTACATTTGGAGATAACTATTACTTGTAATTGAGTATTTTTATTATTATTACTACTTTTACATAAGTAAAGGATATGAATACCATCTCTCATCACTGCCAAACACACACCTCTGACTGTTTCCATCACACCAGCAATCCATATACATACCTGCACCAAACTGATAAAGAACTACACAATCTGCTGAGGAATAATGTCTACTTATTATTATAAAGTCATAATATACTACATACTACAACAAACAAACTAACTTCTTTTTTAATACAAATAACAAACATCCATGGCAGCAAATTAGGCCTACCATTTTAATATACACATGACAAATGCAAGGTGTGTTTGGTGCCATTTTTCAAAGAAAATTATCAACGACACTGATATTTTCAACGTTTTATTTTGATGACTGATAGTGATTACAGTCAAGAGGTAAACAAAAATGAATGAGCATGTTATTTCCAATGACCACAGCTATAAAATAAGACATTTATCTCAAGTTATTTGCGGTTCTGAAAGGCTTTAAATATTACAACTTAGACCTAAATGTTAGACTTCTGGTCCGGTTCAGGCGTTGATTTGAACAGCACAGTAAAGTACAATGGACATTAAGTGGAGACATTTGTACAACTGTATGTTCATATGTTTATGTGCTGCTGAGATCTCTTGAGAGACATTCAGTCGTTTAGACAAATTATGCCGTTATTTTCTTAAACCTGAATACAAAAGAAAAGAACGTATGAGTGGGCGTTCAGAAACCAAATGAGTAGGCTGATACTGTCTATTAAACATCCATAACACAAGGATCCAACAGAGACTAAACAATTACTAATATTTAGCCATAAAGTTGTGATGCACGGAAGTTGGTACTTGCATTTCAAAAGCATTGTCTTTGTAATGAACTTGAAGAGACAAAATGTCTGTGAATAGAACAGTGCTGCCACTTCCAAAAAATATATTTCATTGTCTGCTCCACAGGGCAGGGTATACACACAGTTCCTCTGGTACAGTGTCAGTCACTCTCCTCATACATAAAAAGATATGCTTTAAAAACATTTTTACAGACATGTATAAATCTACAAAGCTATAATGCCGGATTTTCCTTACATTTTATGCTTTATGTCAAACAAAATATTGGTTGTGCTATAATGCATTAAGAGAATATGTAACAAAAATAATACATAGTACTAGATCTGTACAAAATATACCAAACCTCTCCAAAGAAGCCTTTGTCTTTACATGCATTCAGAGATGCCCACATGGGAATGGTCTGATGTGACATCTGGGATCTAATTGCCTTTTGCCTGTGTGGCAGTGGCGCATAAAACCAACTTTCATTTTAAGCACTGATACTAGTGGATAATTTCAACTAACCTACTTTCTGTAGTTTCAGAAGTTAGGCTAGAATGTAGAAACAAACTCTGATAAGTCACGGTACATATGGGGAAAATTGGGATCAGCAACTGACCACAGGTTTTCCTACAACATTGCCTGTATTGCTGGTAAGACTGATTAAAAATGGTGTCAAACAGAGGAAGGCAGGTTATACCTATTACATACTTTTTGAAACACTACATAGATCATCATATACATCTACAGGCTTTCCAGGTCCACATGAAGGCTGAAGTTTTAATTCGTACGTTTGGCTGGCTTTGACTTGCCCGTTCTTGGTCCAGAGATTCTTCAACTTAAGCTCGTAATTAATCTTGAAGAACAGAAAGGCAGGTGCGGGAAAAAGTTCTCTCTTTGAATTTCTGATGTTTGTCAGCCCTGGTATCCGTTTAGTCCAGGGTCAATGCTAATTACAATGACAATGAGTGAGATAATGTTGGTGAAACACAAACTGAGTTGTGAGTGGCTGATTTCTTGTGACATTCCTTCTTTTACAAAAGACATTTACTATCTCCCCATACCCGCCTCTGAGGTCAATTGGTGAGACAAATAAAAACAAGAGGAATCAAGTATGTCCTCTGAAATAGGTTACTTTCTTAGTTTGCAGAGGCCCGTCATGAAAATGAAAAAAAATATTTTTAAATGAAATAAATAACACAAAAAAATGACAGAAAATAATGTGGAAAATATATCTGCATATGAAATTGCCTGGGGTTACTGAATAAAAAAAGATCAGTCCACAAAATCCCTTTAAGGCAAATGGATATCTGGTGAATACTAAATCCCATGTAATACATTCACTGCACAATTCCTGGTCCTCTTGAATGTGTATGAGGGGGATCTGAATGTGTTCTGTGCTGAATGCAAGTGTGTGTGCTTTTGTGTGTATGTGTTTGTGTATGTAGGGAAACGAGTTTGGACGTCTCAGCTTTACTGTTGGAGGTTTAGTGCCAGGCCCTTGGGGGGAAAGGGCAGAGGGGTGTAAGGTGATCTTTGAGGGAGCAGGGGAAAGCCAGCGCTCCAACAGTCACTGTCTCAGTTTCCTGTCTCCCTAGGCCCAGACTCTGGGATCGTTGGGATGCACTCGTGTGGCTTGGCAGAGGCCACAAAGCCTGGCAAACAGGTGCACCTATAGGATCCCTCTGTGTTGGTGCACAGCCCGTTGTGACACAATGGCACCTTGTCGCTGATGTCCTCACACTCGTTTATGTCTGCAGGAAAAAAACGGACACAAAGACATGACTAGTTAGTCAGCGGTAAGATTTCACAGCTGAAACAGCTGTCTGCGGCACATCTGCTGCTGAATGGCGGGAGACTGGAATGCTAAAGTCATTCATACTTCTGATTTCACTTCCTTCCTCCCTTCGTCTTTTTTCGCCTCTCCCTTTTTCTCCCTCCGTTCCTTACTTCCCTACTTACCTCCTTCCCTCCTTTCTTCCCTCCTTGTACCTAATGTAATCTTCTTAACTCCAATTTTGGTGATTTCTGTTTTCTAAATCTGAGTTTCAAAGTTCAAAGGGCAAAACAACCTCACCTCAAAGTTAATTTAGCAGCTGTTCTGGAGACTTCTGTCATATCCCTTGACCTTCACCAGCAGACGGAGTTGAAAGTAAAAAAATGACTTAACCTGTTGTTGAACCTAACATGAAAGAGAAGTCCTCTGAAGTCCTCTAAAGAAGTACTCTTTTTAGACAATTCTAGCGACCAAAAGGAAGCAAATATTGGGAGAATCCATTAATCTTCATTTCAAAAATTCCAAACATTCTCTGGTTCCAGCTTCCTAAATTGGATATGCTGCTTGTCTTCATCTTATATTATAGCGTATTAAATATTTTTGGGGTTTGTTTCCTATTGGTCGGAAAAAAATAGACTTTTCATTTGATGAAATTAATCAACAATTAATCGTGAGAAAATGATAATGAAAAAAATCCTTTGTTGTGCCCCTATATAATTCAATGACACCTGGGCAAACTTCACGTGCTGATAAAGATTGTGTGATATGCACAAAAGCTCCACAATTGCTACTAAATGGACCCTGAGGTGAGACCGTTGAAAACGTTATGCAATCTTGTGAGCAATAAACAAATGTGTTTCAATTCGTTCCACGAGAGCTCACATTTGGAGGGACAAGGCTTTCACTCAACACCAGTGACATGTTGCCTAGTATCTCATCTTGTAAATCTTTTATCAAACATGTCGTCATGTTGCATGTCAGCTGGAAGGGATCTGAACTTGAATTCCCAGCCATTTCGAGCGTTGAACTTTTTGGAATGATGGTAAATTTAACAATGCATTGGATTATGTTTCTTTTTGGCCTTCAAGTGATTTTTCTTTCCCGTCTTCAGCATGGGAGGTCTGATTGTCATTTCATAGCGGTCACTCTTAAATGTTCCTCCTTCTTTTTATGTCTTGTACTGCTGGGGAATCGCTGGTGGTGATATTAAGAAAAGGAGGCATGGCACAAGTTGCATAGCTCCCACATGTTTCCACAGTGTTGGAATTCAATCTCTTTCCTTGGGAAAATGTCTGGCCTTGGAGCTGATAAGCTCATATGCAGGCAGAATATTGTAATCATAGCCTGTCATTACAATAAGACAGTCTCACTTACTTACAAAACAAACAAACTACACTAAAAAGATATAATATCTCATGTAATACATAGAGTGGCCAAGATTCAAGGCCCCCTTACTCTTGGCAGTGTGTGACTAGGGAATTTCAGACCAAAGGGTAACACACTGTGGTTTTGAGGAGTGCACTGCTTTCATTAGTTTCCCATAAAATATAACTTAATGCAAGGTTGTTAAATTCAAAGCTTCTCCTTGAGCTTGATGATATACTGCATGAAGAGTTACCTCATTGACATTAATCCAAGACCTGGCTCCAGAAGGCTTTGACCTGAAGGGAGAGTTCACTGCGGTTTGATTTCAAGATTCAACACCACATTTTGAAACCAGATTAAATTGTGATTGATTCCCTATTGGTCCTAGGAAGTCCCTGAACATTTTGCCTTGGAGCACAGAGTCTAACTGTGGGTGGTCAATTGAGAGAGATGCCGGGGGAAAGAACTCACCTATACAGGCCATCTTGTTTAGGTCAAATTCGTAACCGTCGAAGCAGTCGCAGGTGTAACCTTCTCGCACACGAACGCAGCGGCCATTTTCGCACCCGTTGAGGATTCCACATTCCTCTGCTCGGAGACCCTCAAAGCCATCGGTGTGCTCTGATTGGACACAGAAATACGTAGGAAAACACATCTAGTAATACTGGTATTATTTAGGTTTACTACATACAGGGTGGGGCAGGATTTTTTAAAGGTTCACCCAACTTTGTTCTTTTGAATACAGTAAATTATATATTTCATATTTATTATAATTACATCTATATGAGAAAAAACATTTACTGAGGTACTGAGGTAATTACTTTGCTGCATATGTTTTACATGTAACATATGCTAAGCTTATAAAATATTGTGCTAAACTACTCAACAAAAGTTTAAATAGAATAGTTAGCGCAACTGCAAAATTAAATCTTTAACGTGCAATAAGTGGGGCGGCCAACTAAACAATGAGCTGAAACTAACTAAAAAGCTCTGTAAAGCAGTTTTGGGTGATAAGTCTTTGTAGGTTCAAAACCCTGACAGTGTGTCCTTGTCTAAGAAAGATGCATATACCTACCAGCATAGGAATCCACTGGTTGTGGCTGGTGTTCCCGTGGTCGGGCAACAGGGACACGGACAGGTGGCTGTTGAACACTGTAGTCATGGTCGTTGAAGAGAGGAACGCTCTCAGGAATGTCATAGGGTCGCACAGGGTTTCCATAACTGTCAAAGTATGGAGAAACAAAAGGCTCCACAGGATCGTCTGGCCCCTCATAACCGTACTCATATCCTGGCCGCTCTCGCAGGCTGTCTGAACCTGCTCCTCGAGGCAGGTTGCACATTATTGCATAGTCCTCTGAATATAGCAGCACACAGGGCAAAGGTATATTTTGGATGTTAATAACAGTTTATGTGTTAATATAAAGACAGGAATTATTAAATAGTGCATCTTATGTGCATCCTGCTTCTCACCAGAGTCTCTCCTGGGACAGAAGGCACACTGTCCGCTCCAGGCCACACCATGCAGGCAGCAGCATTCAGTGTATGTCGTTCTGCGTCCCTGAAGGGGTCCCGAACACATGTTCTCCCCCTCCAGATGAAGCCAGCAAATATCCATGTGCACGTCGTGATCAGGCTCTGGAGATTCTGGGGGAGAGAATGAAGAGGGATTCACAATAAGGCAGAGAGAAACAAAAAAGAAATGAAGATTCAGCTGTCTACATGACCTCTACTTTGGTAGTGAAAAGAAATGTGAACGCATCCAAACTCTCCATCAGAATCGTTCACTGTACTGAAAACTCCATGCATGCAGATTTAGACTACATGTGTGCAGCTCTAAGGACTGGGCTGAACCCCACCTCCACACCAAAACAGCTGGACAGATTCAAATATCTCATCATAGACAATAAACTCAGTTTTAACCACTAATATCCATAAACTCTAAACTCAGAGCACTCTTTGTTCCCCGCCTCATGCTGTTATGTCCATATGTCCACCATATTTGTTTCATGTAATTGTATGCTTCTCTTGTGAGACAGGAACATGTGCAGAGTATGAAAATAAATTCCCCTCCTGGGACAATACAGACTCTGTGTCTGTCTAAGGACCAGAAAGTAGTGTGCAAATTATAAATAGGGCTGCAACTAATGATTATTTTCATTTCTGATTCATCTCCAGATTCATTTGTTAATTAATCGATTGATTCATTGCTTTTTCAGAACAACAATCCAAAACCCAAAGATATTACATATCCAATGATACATCCTTGAGAAAGACAACAAGTCAAGGTTAATAAGTTTTGCTTGAAAATCATTCATATTACTTGATTATGACAATTGTTGTCTATTAATTTTGCATTGATTGATTAATCTAAGCACTAGCTTCCATTAATACAAGCAAGGAAAAATTCTACCACTGTGACACATTTGAATTTAAAATTCTGTCAAACCTCCTGTGTTGTTGAGGGCAATGCAGCGCCGCAGTGTGTTGTCCAGGACCAATGGAGGACTGCAGAAACAGTTGAAAGACCCGGCCGTGTTCACACACACTCCATTCTCACAGGCTTTTACAAATCCACACTCATCGTAATCTAAAAATACATTTACAAAGACAGGAATTGCAAGATGAAAAAGTGATATTTCAAAAGTTGTTCAAATGATTCAACATCCAGCATTTTAATCATCAATAAAAAGTTAAAACATTTTAATAAATTTGTATTATTACTCAAACTGGAGGATAAATGAGATTAAAAGAGCGGCAGCCTCTGAAGACCTTTACAATACATGTTCTGATAGTTATAACTAGTAATAACAACTGAATCAGATTTTCTGTATAAAATGGTCGATTGTTGGATTGTGGATTACTAGTTGAGGATGCTGGACGAATGGAGTCCAAAATCAAAATGTCAGCTGAAAGTAATGTGGTTCATGGGAAATGCGGTCTTCATATGATTAGCTAAATAAATGGCATGGAAATCATTTGTGGTTTCCTTTAATGAAATACCTACATGACAGCTTATCTTATATTGTAATATGGATGTTTTGAAATGTGTAAAAACTAAAAACTGACTAAAAACTTACCCACACACTCAAGCCGGATGTTGTCATAGTAGAAGCCAGAGCGACAGAGGCATGTATAGGTAGAAAAGAGATTGGAACACCGTCCATTCTTACAAATGTCTGATCCAAACATCTTACACTCATTTGCATCTGAGAGGAGAGAGAGAGAGAGATTCACACCTTGGTATTAAATAAGTGAGATGGAACAGTCAAAACACTGTTTCCCAGCTTGAAATGTCATTCACTCCTCTTATAAGAAGCTGTCAGGAGACACTATAGTTACAGTGATTAATCAGGTATGCAGGTGGGTATCCCATTAAGCCTTAGCTAGCTGCAGAGACAGCCTTGTAAATGTGGCGAGGGATTATGACTGTCTATCTGGCTTTAAAAGTTTATGCAGGTGGAAATAAAACAGGCTGGCATTGCAACTTTCTGTGCCTATGTAAAGGGAAGCTATAAAAGCTCAGATATATTTATAAAATAAGTTAAAGTACCTATGAAATGGCGTTGTTGTCCCAGACTTTGTGTAGCGGAAACAGGCAGGGACAATAATCCACTGCCATGAGGGCATAATTGGCTATAATCATCTGGAAAATAAAAAATGACTTCATTAGTGTGGATGCAAAAAAAAGACAAAAAAATGCCAATATAATAACATGCTTGTTGTACCTCTTCCTGGAACAGGACAGGCATGGATCTCGCAGTTGTCCCCCCAGCCTGCCCCCACCGTGCAGCAGCACTCCTGCTTGGTGGCGTTGCGAGACAAGACGTTGTCGCAGAAGTTGGCGTCATTCAAGTTATAGTAACACTCTTTCCTCTCCTCGGTTGAGGGGGGGACCAGAGCAGTGGATTTCGGGTCAGTTTCAACTGCAGATAAACAAAGAAAGCAGGGAGGTCAGAGGTCATGGCTAGCTGGAGAAAAGCACCTGTGGAGGTGTTAGAGATCTGGTAACACAGGTGGGCAAACGCTCACTGATAGAGCAGCTTGAACGCAAATCTCCCAGTAGGTACAGTTGGGTAAATCCTACACTACAGTAGTACATCATCACACAGTAACAAGTGGCCTCTGCTCTTCATCCGTCAGAGTGTGTCCACATGCCTCCAGCAGGTAGTACATTACCCTCGCCTGCCCTTGCTGAGCCTGCTCATTTGTCCAAAGGCATGGGCTCAGGCATTTCACCGTTAAGCTGCCGGCTTAGCCAAATGGAAACACTGGCATGTGAGTCAACACACCATTCACTCTCACATGATTGATTAACACACGTCAAAAGCAAACAGCGGAATGTGGCAAAAAGGTACACAAAGGCATAGCTGGGGTTTAGTGCCCAGGCAGAAGAAAAAACATCCCCGTTGAGGGTGCGCCGCTTAATAATGTAAATACACCCAATTCGTGTACACATACGCCTATCAAGCTAGAGATGCGATGGTATTTCCATAACTCAAAAGGCCTTTTCTGTCATTCAGAAATTGCAATACATTGCACTTGTGTAACCTCTGCACTTAAGATCATTTTATCACGGAAGAGAGAGCTAATGGCCAATAGCTACACCTTATCCCTGTTTGTCTTGGTGAGGAAATGGGTTTGTAATAACTAGGCCCTTAGAGTATTTACTTGGCTCTACTGGAGGAGTTACTTCATAATTCATTCAAGGGATTAGGCTAATACATTTTTTTGTAGGTAACCCACCCAACCATAACCCTAGCCTATCAAACAAATGGAAACAGCCAGAGATATGGAGTAAGTCATGTCCACCTCGTCACCCTTGTTGTTTGGATAATGAGAGACGGCTCATTAAATCAGGGAAAACTCGGTCTCCCAATGATGGGATGGAGAATTAAGTCCTGTGAGTCGCTGTGAGTGCTAGCCCTGCTCTATTACCCATGGAGCGGCACTGGCTGGTGATGGGATCAAATTCCTCATTGTCGTTGGGGCAGATGCACAGGAAGCTGCCATCGAAGTTCTCACACAGGGCCTCCCCGCACAGCGCCAGGCTCATCTCGCACTCGTTCACGTCTGAGAAAGACGGGAGAGGAGGTCAGTGAAGGATTAGGCACGTACACATAGGCATGCGCTCAACAAGGTCGTGGCAAGGTAAAACACAAAATAATCTTTATCATCTCGTTATCGTAAGAGTAATTCATTTCCAGTTGGCAAAAAAAATCATCCATAGGTTCATTATAGATACATACATTTCTTTGTCTGATTGATTCCCTACTTACATTTCTTTATATACACTATATTATATGATATTTGTGTGAAATTCCATATTCTTTGCATTTTCAATAAACCCCATTTAAAGACAAAAACCAATAATTCTTTATTGCGTATCTCAGTACCTTCATACTAGATCTGTGGCTCTCAGTACCAAGCCTTTTGGTTCCTAATGAAGATTAAAAATTTTCTAAATGGGTCACAAATATATACTTTCATTTTCAAAAAAGGCAAAATAATTTCCCCAAGTATAGCTTTTAGCAAACGTTACTCAAACAGGTGAAAACAGTGCATTTGTTGGGGACTATTGTCAGACAAGGATTTATACACATTTGGTGCTCTTGTGAGTATTTACAGCAGCAGTAAGGTGTATGTGGGACTGACTCAAAATATATTACAGTGTCCATGTTCATTGTAATGATCAGTGATGTGTTATTAATTGTTTCTGAACAACAATGGAGCTGTTTGGCACAGAGGAATAACTTACATCAGGCTTTGGATAAACAGACAGTGTTTGTTAATTGTATCAACTCGCTGATGGGTTTGGTCTTTCATCTTTTAACCAGCTGAGCACCGACGCTGACACTGAGCAGAAGTGTTGCTTTGGAACAGAAGGTCTTTATCGGTCTCTACTTGCTGACTTGTAGGAGCTACATCGTATACACCTATATCTCACTTCAATACGAAGAGAAAGAGCCCACTTACAGCCCCTTAGGATGTTCTGTTCTCGAGTCGTGGGCCTGTAAAGCATGGGAGTGATTTTGGTCACAGAAATGTTGATCAGTATTCACTGTTTTTGTCAATATTTCAATGTTTTGGAAGCTTTATGTTATTTGGAACATGGTTGTATGGACAGAAATAGTGTTTTGAAGATAACTCCCAATAAAAGTGAAGATATAAACAGTAAATATGGCCAAAACATGGACATTGGCCTGGTATATTTTTGAAAAAATGTGTAATAACTGTTGTATATTAGTTTCTTTTCATCAGATTTACAGTTAAAGATGTATTCCAGGTGTATTAGATGATGGTTTTATAGTGATAATGCTATTAAAATATAGATTTTATACCACGTGAGGATGAAAATATCTAATTTTCCTTTATTGCATCTCCATTTACTCTTTAATAGAAAGATAAATAGGTTCACATTGATTCATATTCCTTAGCTTCTGACCTATCAAAGGAGACCAGAATTATGCATCTAATCTAATGCTTGAGGAGTTATTACTGATTCATTTTGGGTATGTTATTTTAGGCATTTTTTAAGTGTTTGTTTCATGTTTTAAGCAGTAATGTACAATGAATATTTCTTGAAGAGCATCTACGTACCAACACATCTGCTCATATCTCCGGGCGGGTTTGCGTAGCCTTGGTCACACTGGCAGCGGAAGGAGCCGTCTGTGTTCTCGCAGAAGCCGTGGTTCCCACAGATGGTTTCGTTGACACACTCATCAATATCTGCAAGGGGAGAGCACACAGAGAGGTGAGCACAACATTAACATTTACAGTTGCTCTCCACAATAGACTTTCATACTGCCTCTGTAAACACGCCACTGCCTTGCCAAAATAAACATCACCACCATTTTTACCATACAATGACAACAGAAATCACTGCCATCATAACATGTCAGGAACAGATTAGACAATTCATTAAAAGGGTTTTCAAACTCTGGTGTTTGTAAATGAATCCAGGGAGACATTCTGTCTGCATCAACACAGTGAAACTGAGTGCACAGTGGATATGGAAAGCTGCAAGTGAATGTGTCACTGGAGTGAGAAGTGGCACTTAGGTCACTGGCAAAATGTAAGAGACGGAGGAGTTTACGGCATACAGCCAGCATTCAGCATTTCCCCAGATACTTTATATGCAGTTGGAGAAAGATGGCTGAGAGTTCAGGTTTGGCATGGAGAGTTTGACAGCCTTCAGACAGGAATTTTGTTTCAATTAACATGTTGAAAGCTTCTATTTTTTCAGCTGTAAATCTCCTTTGAAGCTAAAACATCTGAGCATAGCTTACAGTAGTTGGTTGGTTGCATGGCAGTAAATAAAACAAGTTTATTAAAAAAGAAAGAGACTGCATTGCTCAATGTCAGTGTAAGAGAGATGGACCATAAACATTGCGGCTGTTAACACTGGGCCACATAACAGCAGTGCTGATTCCCTACACCTCACTGTTAAAGGCAACATTTGTTAGCAGTTTCTTACATACATGATTTAGTATTTCTTGGCGTGTGTAGCAGAGAGGCCAATGACTGATACTGATGGAGGGCAAGTCTGATTATAATTGTTTAAAAAACAATCAGTGAGTTTAATGATCACACTTCAGTGACTTGAATTTGTTCTCTGGTCAGTTTGGCTTGCTACTGGTGCGTTAACATAACTGTGAACACCATTTATTTGTTTTTTATTTGCTTATATGCTCTAAAGAGCATAAACAGCCAAACAGTATGGCCTGTTCATCCAATCTTAATCTGGTCTTGAAGGTAAGTCTATGAGAAACTTGCTCAGCAACTCATCTTGTTCTTTTCACTTTAGAAAGTCAGCAAAAACTCCTCAGTCAGTGCTTGTATGTTTTCTGCAAGCCATTAGGTTGGAACATAGTGACAGACGGGCCTGCTATTTGTATGAACTGCAATGATGAAATTAGAGAACACACCACTAAGTCTGTTTTATCGTAAGCATGACTAGATTTTCCTTCTTTTGACTTTTTAGTTTCATAACAACATTCCATGATCATCCCTATCAAAGTTTCCATGACTAACAGAAACTCCATTGGAGTGATGACACATTTTAGAAATACAGCAGCCTATCTCAAAAAAATATTCTAATTGTATTTCAAAAAACTTGCATATATAAATTACACCTTGATCAGTTCCACTAAACAGTCTCGTGCTTGTTAAACTCATTTTGGATAAGTCTGCTCCTAACATCAGTTAGGACAAAAAGTCAATTCCAGTGGCACTTAAAACAAACTGATTTATGGAATGAAAAGAACTGTCATGCGCATATTTTCTAAATGTCTTATTTAGCCTCTGAGCACTTGTAAAGGCTGTATCAAGTGAATTAAGGAAGAAAGTGGGCCAGAGACGCCACAAGCCTTTTTGATTTGAACAGAACGCTTGGCCAGGGCCCTGTCTTCCCCTCCAACGCAGACAACTACTTTCTCAGGCTTGCAGGGGGGACAAGTCCTCTGCCAGTGTTCCTGTGCTGACTTGGCCACGTCTCTAACATGCCTCCGGGGTCACAGACAGAGGCTACCACAAGCTAATAAAACTGCAGAGACAAAATTGTCTTTGTCGTTGGTAAAACCTTTCACAGGAAATGCTGAAAAGGACCTAAATTTCTAGTATAGACTTGTGGGCTCAAATGGCTAGAGGATGATAGATGGAAAATGGATGGACACATACTGACCGCCCACCCGTTGGATTTGCATTTTGCAGCTGTGGATTGCGATGCCAAACTGGTGTAGAAGTGCTGAAATTTTTTGGATACAATAAGATATTATATGTAATTAAAAAAGAATATATTTTTGGGAAGAATGTTCCTATAGATCAATGACGAGTATTCTCAGAGCAAGGTAAAAAGTATTGTATATCAGAGTGTAAGGAACATTTCCTCAAGTGTGAAGATCTTAAGTAGCGTTTGGAATGTTGGAATGACAGCGGGCGCCAGCTGGGAGGTCTGGGAAGAAGGCGATGAAAGCACTCTGCTAATATATGAAATAATCAGTGTCCGCAGGCGGCTTTTCATTCATGTGTAACATGGAACAAATCTGTTGATGAGATGCAATCAAAGTATCATCCTGGCGATAAATGAGAACATCGAGACCAAAACAATTTTAATGGCCTTTGTTTTTTTGTGTATCTGACTCTGGTTGTGTTTGAGTGGCAGCATTACTTGACCAGCCATTTGGACCTGTCATCTAAGCAGAGAGTCAGCCTCCTAATGGTTTGTGGGAAAAAATGAATAATACAAAATGAGATAACTCCAACAAGCGCTAGTGTCACACAGCAGGATGTGGGTTGCCTTTCTTAGTCTTTCCATGTAACAATCAGTTACGTCAGGACACATGCAGAGCTGTAAACTGCCTGCAGGGAAGAACTGAGGCAGGGAGGAGGGTGAGGAGTTCAGCTGAGATGCGGTGGGAGGTGAGGTTAAGGGTGACCCGGCCCAATAGGCACCTATCCTAATGGTCTGACCCAGGAGGACCTGCTTCCTGGATCCGGTGATCAGTGATTGGGGGGTTAAGAAAAGAGTGCAAAGTGTGGGTCTCTGTGCCATGTGTTAATCTGGAGCACATGGTGACAGGCAACAAGTATATAGGCATCAGTGACTGTTGGCTCACACTCCGCAGCCCACGCTTTGCCCATATAGTCTGGGCAACCTCTTGTCTTATTGGACCCATATGCAGATTTTAATTCACATGCAGCTGGGCAAGGATAAAGTGAGGAATTTGTTTTCAGGGAAGCATGTAAACCTGCATTATTTCTAATGGTCAGCAGGGGACGACTCCACTGCTTGCAAAAGAAGTCCAAATGCATTGGAGTCTATGACAAAAATACCCTACGTCTCACTTGATTTCTTACCTCAGTAAACACTTTGCAAATGAGTTTACGGTTTCAATCTTTAGTTTCAAATCTTCTTCAACACAGCATGATGTTCATTTTGTAAATTATGGTCCCACTTAGAATAAAATAGATGATAAAGCATGGTATGTTTTAGGGCGTGGCTACCTTGCGATTGACAAGTTATCACAGTGACCTTTCAATCAGGATAGAGGAAAATCCACTGCACTGTGTACATATAACTAGCCGTGAACTTGATTTTGGGTGCTGTCAGACTTTTCGTCTATAAACTTAAATAAATACACCCTTTCGCAGTGTGTTTTCTGTTCATTAAAGTTAAATGTAACATTATGGTCACCTAAACGTGTCTTGTTCAGCGGTCGGTTGAACTAAAAGACACTCTAAGGAGTTAGCTGTTCATTTATTCCAATAAGTACTTTTTGTTTTTAACCTGTTTTTCGCTAGACAAAATTAGCATCCACATTAATATCACAGTTAACGTAATTTAAAGATGAACCTTACTAACCGAGATAGCTAGCTCCACCCTCTCGTCCGAATATGGTCACTTCAGATTCCAAAAAACAAGATGGTGAGGGTCAAAATGCCAAACACAAGTCTTCAAAAAGGTAGTCCACAAACCAATGGGTGACATCGTGGTGGCTAGGTCCACTTCTTTTATACAGCCTATGGGTTAATCTAATATCTACAACCTGTCTTGGTTTAACTACAATGGAGGTCAAACTTTCATAGCATGTGTGTACTTCTAAGAAAAATCACCATCTTTCAACGACGCAACAGCATGAGCAATGACACACACATGGTAAAGTCTTTAGATTTCTATATGTTTAAAGGGGTGGGAGGTTGGCAAGAGTGTGACCACAGACAATTTCCACCCTTGGGCAAGCCTTATTAAAGGCATAGCTTGAGGGAATTTATGAGCATGATGGTAAATTATAAAAAACAATGACCTGCAAATACACACATACTGCCTTTTTCAAAGGAGCCCCGTGTATAGCATATATATATGTATAGCAGAGCTGAGCGCAACCCTCATAGCACTGTTGCAGCTGACGTGATGCTGCGGGGAAAAAAACCCTGTTTTTCCCTTTTGTATTATGGCCTCTAAATCTAAATGAGTGCTGCAAGTCGAGCCAAAGACAACCGCTGCCCCTTCGAAGGCCGGTGAGTAAAAATAAAACAACGCCCCTCACAGAAACTGCAAATTACAGCGTCTGGCCTCTTCTTAAATATTTGATGATTTTTACAAGCAGACAAAAATGCCCCAGAGTAATTGAGCTCCCTCCCTGGACTTTTACTGGGGTGACGGCAGCATCTCCCACAACTTCCCATCGTGAGGTGAAACAAGCCACTATTGTGTGTAGTGCTGGACTTCTGAGGGTGAGTGAGCTTGGTACTCAAACCGGGGCTGTGAGTCAACGCTGAGCTGTGCGAGTGTTTGTTGTGGGGTCTAATGAAAACACAGCTGGCGTCACAACATAGCAACAGGGGAAAGATGGTCACTTGTGGTCTTACTGGGACCCATTCAGACAAGTCACACTGGGAGTTTTGTCGCACCACAGGGGACAATGTGAAGATTTTTCAATCAGGTCCCACCTAAAGATTAATGTACAGGTCATGTCAGGTAAGATATGCAGATAGCATATAACATGACAGTGGAAGCACTTGGCTCCTAAGTTAAATTGCATACCGATTAGCACTACTCTGGTTTGAACCTATATGTGCTTCTTAGAATGTTTTGACTAAAGTAAAACAAAGGAGCGGAGGTGAGCAGCTGGTTTCAATCTGCCCTTATCATACTACAGGCCCCTGCACTCTTCAGCTGGTGCCAGACACACAACATCATAAAGTGCAGCGAGGAAGCAGCCACACATAGCCGGTATCAGGGTGATGGAGGGGGGCGGAGGTCCGATCTGTCACTGATCAACACTGCAAGCAGCACATTCCCCCCTGCTCTGTTGATAGTCCAATAAAAACTCAGGGTCATGAGAATATATGAAGCCACACCGCAATCCGAGTGCATCACCACGACGGTTACAGTCTCTGGTTCTCTTTCTCTAACACAGAAACACAAGCGAGGATGCAAAACCCCACAGTTAACCACACGCACACACACTTGCGCTCACACACACAAACACACACACACTCACACACACACACACAAAATCACCCGCAAACACCCACAGCTTCCATCTGTAGTCCAACACATCATTCCATTCTGATGCTCTCAGACTGCTTTTCCCTCTTCGCCTGTCACTCTCCAGTGACTGTTTGGATTCTGTCTTTTTATGAAGAAAATATTTGGCCTTTTGTTTTTGTCTCTCCTAGTCCTCATAAACTGGACTTGCTTTTTTTATGGTGCTATGAGAGCAACAAAGACAAGCAATTCTCCAATACAAAATAAAGAGTGATAAACTCAAACCATTGTGCAATACTGCGCATTAATATCTCAAGCCTCAAGTGTCTAATCCTGCCAGTAAACACAGAAGGCTTCATGTATTCTGGAGGTCATGGACATGTGTCCGTTGTTGTTGGCCAGCTGTGGGCCCAGATGTAGCACAAGTTCAAACCTAGCCAGTCAACCCAGGTGAGTGAGGTCCTCCGTGGGGGGCAGGGGTGTTAAGGGCCTGACAATCCCATCCCCTCTCAAAAGAAGAACAGCAGTGGTCAGGTTGCACCTAGTGTCTCTGCCAGAGGCACTCCATTAGCTCCATTGTCCGGAGGAGGAGACCATTATGGGCTGCTGGCCTCACACACTGCTTCCAATGACAGTGCACTCCTCTTTTTAAAGTGCCCCAATTTCAGCTCCACCACCCCCAGCCTCTTGTGCAGGAAGACCTTGAGTACCTGATAGCTTTTGATTAACATCAGCCTCTTTGTGTTGTGTCTGCATGCCAAACAGACATCATTATCTATGCAGGGAGGGAGAGTCCAGGGTGTTGATTTGAGGCTATGCCCTCCCCTGTCTTTAACTACAGCCCAAATGGTAAATGGATTAAATTAGGGTTCAAAAATAGGCAGGACCATACAACACATAGATCTTTTGCTTCAGCCTACAATTAGCCTAAAATGTGCCTGTTTTTTCTTAAAATAACTGTGCGTGCGAGTCTTTTGACTACACGTAGTTTGATCACTCACCGCAGTCTGTGGCGTCTCCTCCCTCATGGCCAGGCTGGCAGCCCATGAAGCACCGATAGGAGCCGATGGTGTTCTCGCAGCGCCAGGTACCACACACTGAGCTTCCAAAATCCTTGCACTCATTCTGGTCTGCACAGGGAAAGAGGGAGAGAGAGACAGATGTTGGTTAGTAACTGACAAACAGAGGCACAAATGCAACCACATGTGCAATCAGACACTAACACGGACGCACGCACCCCCGCACACACACTCATATTCCCGCCAGTGCTCCTCTGCTTCCAGTGTAATGGCTGTGCAGCAGGAGTCGGCCAGGAGGCCTGTGGTGTAGCTGTCCTCAGTAAACGCAGCAGGCAACAGGAATGGCCAAGAACAATATTATCACAGCAACCAAAGAACTTGTGAAGGAGCTAAAGGGAGACGTTCCAGAGGGAGAAACACCTCTTGCTTACAATGGGGTCATTCATACTTCCCTCAGGGGAGAGGGAGTTCGGGGCTCCATCCATATAATCCAGACACCCCTTAGTCCTAAAACCATAGAGGAACGCCTCTAAGCCAGGCTTGGACACTTTCACTGGAGCCCAATCCTCACTGACTATAGATAATCAATCATTGCCAACTGTTCTATACCATGTACGCGTAAGCCTAAATGTAGCGTGACGATCAAACAGCTAACGCTGTAATGTTGGTTTACTCAAAGTGTAGAAACCTCATGGCAGAGTTCGGGGTCAATAATCACTGAGACATACACAACAGGACATCACAATCTGAGTTTTTTTCTTGTCTTACCTTCACAGTCAGCCGTGTCAGCGTTGAACTTGAAGCCAGCCTTACACAAGCACAAGAAAGAGCCATCAGTGTTGAGACACTGGCCCCGGGTGCACACATTGTCTTTACGGCATTCATCTACATCTAAGGTAGAGAGAAGGGGGAAAGAAAGGCAGAATAATTAAGAAAGATAATTGGAAAAAGGGTGGGCCAAGATTAGTTACTAATTGTTTATCACTAAATATCCCTATATATTCTCTGTCTTCATTAAGTCCACAGGGAACATCACTCCTTTTACGAAGTATCTCAAAAATAATGTGTAATCAAGCGCTTGTCTGAGCACAAGATGCATTGTCCATTTGGAGCACTTAACAGTATACCGGCAAACAGGAAACAAAGGAGAACAAAAACATCTACCTCAGCTTTTCAGGCTGTGAACATTTCCCTCGGACTCGTAAAAATTAATAATGCATGTGACATGCTTGATTAGCAGTAGATTTGTGGATAATTGCAGCATTACAACATGACTTGTAAGGTACTTGGACCTGGAGTAAAAGGTGGGGGAAAAGGCAGAGAAGCAGGGGGAAATTCATCACTGGGGAAAAGCCCGTCTTTCTTTTCCAACCTCTGATAATGAGATGAATCTTTCAGACACGACAAGTTAAACACGCATTTGATATCGATGGGGAGAAAAACAAACAAACCCCAGACTATAAGTAAATACATAAATATGCTGTGACTGGATTGCTTTGGAGTTAATTCAAGGACATCAAAGCTTGTATTGAAAGGCACAGCAAGGCTATGGCACAACCTGTTGATTTGGATTGAATTCAGTCTGCTGTCAGTCCTTCGTTATGTGTGTTCTGTTTTTGCTGAAAGGCTGGTCTAGTCAAGGCCAAGCATCATTTTGGCCTCACCTGACTAAACCCATCTTTTTTCCCCCCATAAACTCACATACCCTCCTCCTCCCTTCACCTCCCCCTGTAGGCTCATGTCAGTGGGGTCTGGCTTTCATTGTGTCAGCACCGTACACAATGGCAATCTGCAAGAAAATATACAACAACTGCTGATTTATAGGATAATTAGAGCCCAGTATTTGTTGTGGCGGGCAGCCAAAGTACCTGATGCAGGCTGGGCAGTTTGCTCAAAGTCTGTGAATGATATCTAAGCTGCCCCAAGGCTAAACTGGAAGACTGTTCAAAGACTGACCCTGGTCCTCCATGCCAGCGTCTTGCATGGGCCTGGACCCAGAGACCCAAACCTACCAGCTTCACATCACAAAAGGATATTTCACTGCCAGACAACCTGCCTTTTGCTTAACTTCACCTCTTACTGCACTTGCAAGACACACCAGAAATAACACTAATCCAATTCTGAGCCAAAGTTATTTCATGTATTTTGACAGCACATGCTCCAGAAGAAAAGTGTTCCTTAGCTGATGATCAGGCTACATTTTTTCCCCATTCACTATGAACAGTGGGTCACTGGGTGCGACTGGAATAACATCAAACTGATGTCCGAGTGGAGAGCGAGTGAGCTGAGACAGTTGATGAGGCCATGGCCCATTACACAGAAAGGCTGGCCTGAGCACCCATGCCAGGAGTCCTAGGCCTGGTCTCAGCACCCAGGACAGTATAGTGTGGACGGTGCCTGTCAGACTGCCTGCACTGAATGAAGAAACTTGGGCAAGCCAACATGGTTACTGTAAAATGACTTGAGCAATATGGGCTAAAACCATGATTACATTATTACCAACTTTCTCAAAGTTTGACTCTGCCTCACCCAATTACACAAAACCCATAAAATCCTCTGAAAAATAATGTCCCATAGCTATTAGTGCTCTTGCGCAGACTGTTACTGTACCTTGGCAGCCGGTCCTAGCATTGATGGTGGTATATCCATCAGGACAGATGCACGTGTAGGAGCCCTTAGTGTTCAGACAGTTTCCGGCTCCGCAGATCCCCGTGATGGTTAAACACTCATTGATATCTGTCACGGACAGGCACAAATATACACACACAGCTGTGTCAAGATGCCAACCTGAGGTAAGCCACAGGAAACGGTTAACCACTAATGGTATATTTTATGTGTCAGAGTGTGTGTGTGTGTGTGTGTATACCTCTGCAGGATGTCCCATCCACCAGCTCCAACCCAGTGGGGCAGGAGCAGCTATAGGAACCAATGTTGTTGGTGCACTGGCCTCCCAGACATAGGCTGTTGTCCACACATTCATTTACATCTGCATTGACACACATACACACACACACACACACAGACGTCATCAGTATGACACATTCACACCAGCTGTAAATCACTGGGTCTCACTTCAGATTTGCCCAAGTTTTGTCATTTGGACGAAAAGCTTCCAGACCCCAGTGAGCATGTCAGAAAAGTCATGCATCATCATCTACATGAACAAGTGATGACTTATTCTTATAATAGTAGGTCATACTGCGCTGGAACGGATGACTATGAAAACGATTGCACAGAAATCATAAATATTAGCGATCATAGCAAGCCACCCACTGTATAGTACCTTCACATGAGAGCCCATTAAGTGCCACTGTGAAGCCTGGGTCACAGGCCATGCAGGAGAAGGAACCCTCTGTGTTGGTGCAAACACCCATGGGGCACACACCTGGGCTCTGGCACTCGTCAATGTCTAAGAAGCAGAAGAAGAAGAAAAGGTTAGTTATAGGTTATCATCTTAAGCAAAGGGACCTCTTCCACTTTCGTTCACTGTCTTATCTGTTAAAAATGATTAATGGCCGAATGTGACTCAGCCTAACATACAGTTAGCAAAGCCCTTTTTATTAGACGGCACTGACAGTGTTTTATTAAAAAGGGTGGAAAGATAAGTATGCGGGACGGTCATCGAATCCAAAACAGCAAGCTATTACAGGTGGCGTATAATTACTGTATCTACAAACAGTCACTGGCTCGCTGTTATGTGATCACTGGAAATTCCTCGAACTGGTACAGATTGTATTTCTTATGGAGAAAATAGTGTGGGCCATTGTTAAGTGATTGAGACTTTTTGCCTCTGGGTGAACAGTTCAACAGGGCGAGCTTGCTGCAGTACATGGAAGGACGGGGAGTGGTTGACTTCATTTCAAATTAAGCCCTTAATATTTTCCATGGCATCAGAGACATTCATTAAAATCCTATCAGAGGGCGACTTGGACTCTGGCTTGTTTTGTAAAACTTTTTCCCAGCGCAAAGACACATATCAGCGGGGGATCGTCCTCCTTGGCTAGACCCACACTTTCATTCAAAAACACACCGCAGTATATATGACTAACTGAGGCCATGTTTGAATCCATTTAAATAATTATTCCTTTTCTGCTTCCCATGAAGTCATGACAGATCTAACCTCCCTGGATTCGTCAAAGCAGCCGTTTCACTGCATTGATCTCATAACTCATGTCATGACAAATTACCGAGCACTATAAAGATTTTCTGTAATCATGTTCTGGACTTAATGCATTCCTTTTTTACTGCTGTCCACTGTAACTTTGACCCAACATAATGACAACTGTTCTAAGCAGGTAAACAAAGAGGTAGTTTTACCCTCACAGCTGTAACCATCCTCGGACAGTTGCAGGCCGTCTACACAGCTCCTGCAGGTGTAGGATCCTGCGGTGTTCAAGCACAGCTGGCCCGGGCACATGTTAGCCACCAAGCACTCATCCACATCTGGACACAAATGCATGGACACATCATAGCAAAGATTACCATCTCTGGCTTCAAATAAATAAAGCCCGCCAGTTGTAATCACTTACATCGATAATCACTGGAACTGGGACTTACAAATGTCGACACCTCTATCTTTTTAGCTGACTTATCTGCCTGACATCATTTTGTTCTATTTGGGGACTGGTGTCTCATTGTGTTGAGCAAGGATCAGATGAGTGGTGCCAGAGGCGGAGGGGTTGGGGATCCAGCTATGATGTGATGTCTAGAATGAGTATTTCGGGCGTTTGAGCTCAGATGATGGGGCTTTGGGGTCAACGTTGTCACACCTGATGCTGTTTACATACAACCTGAAGCAGCTGGCACATTCACCCTTAACCGCAACTTTGGTGGGTATTAAGGCAAGGCCTGGCATGTCAGAATAGAAGAGGAAGCTACACACACCTGTGCTAAAGAATACAAACATGACAAAAGCACAAACACAGCCAAAAGCCTCACCATCACACTGTTGTCCATCCTCAGAGACTCTGAAACCAGGTTGACAGTTGATGCATGTGAAGGAACCCTCTGTGTTTGTACATGTTCCCCGGGGGCACGTAGTGGTTAGCGCGCACTCATCAATATCTGAAAACAACACAGCCTGTAAGACATTCTCTGCAGGCCAAGGAAAAAAAGACTCAAATTCATGATGAAAGGCACAAACCACTAACACCACTAATTCAATATACATACGGTGTTGTGCAGGAGTTCATTTAGATGAGTGACATTGAATAAACCAACCTTCACAGAGCTCCCCATCATATGATACTCTGTACCCTGTAGGGCAGTTCTCACAGGTGTAAGAGCCTTCCGAGTTTAGACAGATCCCGTTGGCACAGGTAGACAGGGACTGGCATTCGTCAATATCTGGAAGAAACACACCAGCAAAGACATGCATGGACATCACTACAAATACTAATATGCGGAGGGTTTTAAAGGTGAGTTGACAAACTGCCCAGCTGTATTGAGTCAGTCTTTAACAGGAGTAACAGCACTAATGTTGTTTACTAAATGAGGAGCACAGCTGCAGATTGAATTTACCTTCACACCTCTGCCGGTCTTGAGACACTCTGTAGCCAGCCTTACATCTGGTACAGGTGTAGGATCCCTCCGTGTTGGCACACACCCCACCAAGACACAAGTCACCCTGGGCACACTCATCCACATCTGCAAAACAGAATTACCAAATTCACCACAACTGGGCAGACAATAATCATTATCTAGCAGTGTCGGAAAAACAGCAGTTTAGTGTAAAACATTGGGCAGACGGTTTCGCACCTTCACATCTCAGTCCATCAGCAGATGGTCCAAACCCAGGGCTGCAGTTCTGGCAATTGTAGGAACCTGGAGCATTAATGCAGATTCCCGCAGGGCACACATTACCAGTTGCACACTCGTTGACATCTAGCAAAAAGAAATAATTTGCATTATTCTGCTGTCGAGAGAGCAGAAGGTATGCAGTGACGAGTTCCACCCAACAACCCTGGATAATCCTTTGCAGACCTTCACAGGCTTTGCTGTCTGAGGTGACTTGGTAACCATGGTTACAGGTACATTTGTGGGTGCCGTCCAGATTGACACAACGGCCATGGAGACAGACTCCAGGGAGCACACACTCATCCTCATCTGGAGGGAAGATACAGAGGAAGAAAAAGGGGGCCTCAGAAAAAAAAACAACAGCTAACACTTTGTAGTCTTCTCATAAACCTTTAATGGTGGCTTCTGTAGAAGCTCTATGGGGAACAATTGACAGAACTGTTTGTTTGAAATTTGACGTTCATAATGCCTGACTGACCTTCTGACTAACAGTTACCTTGGCAAACGTTGTCCAGTGAGACTTCGTATCCTCTGAAACAGTTGCACCTATAGGAGCCCTCAGTGTTGACACACCTCCCAGGGCCGCACACTGTTTGGTTCAAGCACTCGTTTACATCTGAGGACAGAAGGGGTCAGAGCAGGACACAACATATTTGAGAAGGAGATGTTAGGTTTCATCCACAATTACACTCTGAGACTCACTCTATGTCTAGTGCTATCTAGACATGCAGATTTATTTATTTATATTTTTGAGATATTGACTTTGACGAATTTCAGTTGAGGTGCTCACAGCATTGAAAAAGGAAACTTTAAAACATTCATCAGCAACACATCTTCCCCGGTATGTCCCAGTTTTATTTTGGACTTTTTCTGTGGTAGAAAGTAGTTCAAATGACAAAAGAAAAATGCAGTTGAATTTTGCAAGTATGTTGTAAAAGCCATGGACAGAATTCCATTTCTCTCCATTATAAGAGAGTGAAGGCAGAAAACCCAAAGAAAGATATCTCAAAACCCAGGCATACAAAATCAAAACCATCTGCAAGGCTAGATACCACTACAAGTAAATAAGAAAATGTGTAATGTTTGTAATGTGGCCATTGCAGCAAGGAATAAAACATTACGATGCAAAAAATAAAGATGTGAAATAAGGGTGGTATCGGCATAGTACAGCAGTAAACGGGAAACGATTACAGTATAATTAGTGTGCAAAATGACTGCAAAACAGCAGTCGTTAAAGTGCACAGACCCAAATGTCATTCACGAAGGCCTTTTAATATTTGCAGCAGTAGCTGTCTTTTCCACTCTATGAGTCAGAACAGTTTACCCAGGATTTCTGTTTGTAGAAATAATGTTTTATAGTGCAATTTGTCAAGTGTTAACAATGGCAGTATTTCAGGTTAGGTGAAGGTGAGGGAAGAGAAAGTCTGAAGTGAAGTCTTATGTGAGTGCAAGAGGCAGAGAAAGAGACATTTGTCTGCAAAAGAGGTGGAGAGAGGACGCTACTGAGAGGTGACAGAGATGCCGAAACAGAGAACTCACACAGTGAAAACACTGCGAGAGAGTCACAGACTGGGTTTTGTTTGCCTAGCCGTGGGCACTGCCAGACATCTGTCAGTGTGGCCCGTTGCTTTGTTTCTGCGATAAGCCCTGACAAGGGAATGGAGCTGTTTTCTCTATCACACCAGCAATTTGGCTTATCCACGATTCGGCCAATTGGGCCCAAACCACTGCGCTACTGTCAATTGACTGAAGCAAATACTGGAAAACCCAGCACTCACGTTACCTGTTTTATGTGACTCCCACAGCGCACAGACGTAATACTGTAGGCCTGTTAGTGCTGCCTGGGCGGATGTTCGGAGTAAAAATATTTACCTCCAGTGTTATCCCTCATTTACAAGGTTCCTCTCAGTTACTATTTATACACTACAGATTTACACAAAATGAATAATATTAGTGAAATCACAAACAGAAACTAGCTGAAGCAGTGTTTTCTTTGGAGGCACGGAAATCAAGACACTTTAAACAAGGGCATCACTCGTAAGACAGTCGAAATTAACTGTAAAACTCCAAATGACTACTAAAGTTAATTTCCATATTTTCCATCCTCATTCGTCCTTTCAGCTCTTCACATTTCTGGAATACTCACTCGAGGGACTTAGGTTTCAAAACAAATTAGAGGGGTGCAAGGTCATAGAGAGGGGATGTGGTAAGTAACACCAGTCAGACTCTTATGTAACTGGGCCACTTTCAGGTTGGGAGCTGCTAGCGAGACACACAACACACACCAAATGTGTGTATGGTTGTTGGCCATTTGTGTCTTCAAATCTAATAATCCACAGTAAGAGTTTTACAGTGGACCACAGAGAACACTATGGGTGAGTGAGAGAATTTGTTTGCATGTCGGGACTTCTACGCAGAGGGGAACTGACCCTTAGACCTTCTCATACATCTGTGACAGCACCTCTCACCTAGCCCAGCAGTGGTAATAAAGCCTCGCTGGCCTCCGCTGGGCCCGACAGTACAGTGGCCAGAGCTCTCCAACAATAATATACTGTTTGTTCAAGGCTGTGGCCAAGAGAAAATATTTGGACTCTCCCAAATTGAAGTATCATAAACAATCTTTTTTTTACGGAGCAAGTGATATAGAAAGATCAGCAATAACACGGTGACTGTGTTTAAACAATATTGGGAATATGCAGAGGCTGCTGGGTGGAGGAGTTGATTTGTCATAAGTGGAAACAGTGAATAGAGAGACACAGGGCAGAAGGTTGTGCACGGCCCGCACAATATAGCCATCATCACTGCGGTCGTGGGCTGTCGTGTAGGGGGCCCAGTAGTGCTCCACGCTGGACATAAAACATCCAACATACAGCGTTTTGAAAGATTAAATACAATTTATTTTCTATAATTTCCATGCACATCAGCAGTCAGAGTCAGGCAAAAAGCCGTGATTCAGTGAAATTTATTCATCTTGTGCTATTTGGTGAACTGTGAACTGTACTGCATCATAAGCTGTCAGAAAGTCATTAACAGCACGGCTTGTTGCCATGCTGCCTTGGTTATTTTTGGTGATGCCAACCGGGAGCAGAAGCTTTGCCTACGTAAATGTTACTTAATACAGGAAGCTTTTGCAGTGTGAGAGGGGAAACCCAGCTTATTTCCATGCAGCGGTCGGAAACACTCTTAGGAGTTCGGCTGCTTATCCACACATGTTTCATCAGCAGGCCTGAACCCCGGGCTGCAACCCTGGCAATGAAAGGAGCCGAGGGTGTTGACGCAGACACCGTTGGGGCAGGAGCTGGGATCCCTGCACTCATCTACATCTGCTCAGGGAGAAGGTGGGACATGAAAATAATCATTTGAATTAGTTGTTACTAAAACAATGTGCACATGCATATACAAACACACAATGCCTCTGTCATGAGCTGAGCATAGGTTTCTTTCTGGCTTTGACTAGAGGAAAATACATGTGTTTTGTTTCCAGGCTACACATTAACTCATGGCAGCAAACAAATAGGTCTGGTTGTGCTGCTATGTGAACTTGATCATGTGTGCGTAAGTGTCTATCCGTGTGTGTCACCTTCGCATAGGCCTCTCCAAGACTTGGCGTAGCCACTGTTGCATTCACAGGTGTAAGATCCTTCTGTGTTGACGCATTTGCCATTCTGGCACTTGTTCGGCATGCTGCACTCGTTAATGTCTGCCAGTTTGAATGAAAACCAAGGAGAATGGAAAAGAAAGTGACTATTGTGGTCCACAGCACTAATTAAGGAAGGATGCTTTTTAAATGAACAGCGCTGACAGACAAGAACTTGCGGTGCTCTAACAGAGAGCCCTAACAAATCCTAACAGCAGCCTACGGTGGCTTTCATTCATTGGAAACACTATGTATCCTGCTGTCATTTGGGCTGTGTCTCACCTTGACAGAACTTCCTGTTCTGGGTGATCACCTGGCTGTAGCCACTGTGACATTGGCAGGTGTAGGAGCCATAGCTGTTTATACAGCGGCCCTTCCCTTCACATGGGTCCTCGTCACACTCATTCACATCTGCAATGGGAGACAGAGAAAGAGAGTAGAAGACATTGAATGCATTACATTACATTGCAGTTCCATTTCGCCAGCAGAGACTGTTCCCTTTCCAAGCCCTGACTTTAGAGCTCCTCTACTGCACAGGCATTCCTCCACGATGGGCCTGGGCCCAGCCGAGGCAGAGCAGAGGCTGCGGCCAAGGCCTTCACCATGAGGTAAGGGATCACAGCACCATGGCAGCTCTTTGGATAGCCTGTACGCTGTTGTCAGGCATCACGGAACAGGTCAACATAAACAAAGGGATCCCTTTCATTTTGGCTCGCTTCATTTCTCAAGGCTTCTGTGCCGTGTAATGTTTGGTATTGAGGACTTGTTCGCACAGGGATGATGATAGACAGAGCCGCTGGGGCCTCGGGTATCAGCATGTGTGTGTTTGTGTGGCCCTCCTTCTCTTTTGAGTGTCCCGCCATTACACCTCCTTACCAATGCAGTTGGTCTGCAGCGCACTGAGCTTGAATCCTGGCTCACATTGGCAGGTGTAGCCAGTCTGCACAGGAATACATTTCCCACGGCCACATATGGTGGGGGTGATGGCACACTTGTCATTACCTACGAAAAGCCATAGAGATGTACGCAGTCATTACTCAGGAAGCAGAAAAGAAGATATGTGACCTAGGGTTACATAACATTACAGACACAGTAAAAAACTACAAAAAAAACTGCATTCCAGTAACACATGTTATTCTCCATGGGAACCCGTCTTGCTGTTTTATAGGTGGGGTCTTGGATGAGAGGACAGGTTTTACAGCACTGTAGTGTTCTAACAGGTGGTATGGAGATCTTACAAAGGGGTCAGCGAGAAACACGCCATGCACAGTAGAGCCTGACATTAGGGTTGATCTTGTCTTTTTTGTCCAAATGGACTGTGGTAAAACAGAGACACTGAACAGGGAAGGAAAAGCCTCACTACAGTATCTCTTTTTCTATTGGATTACTGCAAATCCTCCTAACTTTCTTTATCTCCCTAACACTCTCACTCTCTCTGTCACCCAAACACACTTTAACCCTGTCTTCCGCTTCCTTTTTCCACAAATCAGGCATCTGTCCGCTCAGAGCTTCACCTTCCAAGAGGCGCACTCTTTCTTAGTTCCTCGCCCTTTCGCTCTCTGCGCAGCACAGCATCTTCAAGCCAAATTGGCTCTGAGAAAAGGGGTCAAATAAAAGCATAACACAAGCTCTCCTTGGCTTAACTCTGGGTAAGCCTTAAAAAATGTCTTATGAGACGTGCTGCTGTCTGCCAGCAGTTGACAGAGAGCATAAAAAATGAAGAGTTGTGCATGGTTGTCCTACAGCTCCATACCCTCCTGTCAATTAGGCGCTGGCAATTTTAGATACATATCCAGTGTTTCACAAGAGGCCCACTGCTTCCTACATGTATTCTAATGCATGTTGTACCTGTGTGGATGTCCTTTGAATCTGGCCTCAGGCTGATGATGGAGGAGTCTGGAGAAGTCTCTGTGAAGAGGGATCGAGACTGGGTGAGTGCAAACACAGTGAACCACTAACACTGTGACACATAGTAAGTCCTCGTTATCCTCCCAACCACTACTGCCTCAAATGTCACTCACTGGCAAGCTATATAAAAATGATCTACTCTTTTCTCCAGGCTAACAGTACAATGACCAAAATAAATCAAGTAGACTCACTGAATGTAGTCAACCTTCAGACTTTAATGTCAATGTTTTCACTGGCGTGAGGGCAGAGCAGAGGAGGATTGAAACTTCTGCCGCTGTGCAGGACTGACTAACGTATACAAAACACACTCAAGTGTGTGTGCCTGAAACTACTGTTGGCCCTCAAGCTTACAGATGCTAAATCAAACCACAAGAGCCATTACACAACAGCATTGAGACACTTGTGAACAACTACCGTTGTTCTGTATGAGTAAATCCAAGAGAAAAATACCTGGATATTTCAGTGGTGAGTCTGTCACAACAGCTGGCTAGAAAACAAGCAAAATATTACTTGTCAAAGATTTTGGTTACATTTCATCACAATATTCATGTTCATACATTATGTCTGCTTTTGTCGTCATAGTCAGTGCTAATTAGGTGTATGTATCTACTAAAATGTGGTATGAAGTTATATAATCATAACAACCCCTCCAGCTGAGATAGCTAGAGCATATCGTTCTAAGATAAACATTTCAAAAGTATGTGCCAAGAGGCTGACAGGGAGGGAGAACTTACCGGACTCAGAATTTCCACGTCTGCCACGAGACAGAAAGAAGAGGAAAAGTTTATCAGTAGCAAACGTTGACATGATGTTCGCATTAACAAGTACCTTTACTGACTACACACAACATACACAACAACCCATGTTCTCCATAGGCACTTGACTTGCAGCTTTGGAGGTCTTTATTTCTAATAAAACAAAGCTTATGGCATATTTATCCTGTAAGCCAGACAAAAAAAGTTGTATCAGAAAAGTATTGAAGACTACTGGCCCAAGAAAAATGCGAAGAGAGACAAGGAAATAGATATATCTGATAATGAAGACATAAATCCCTAAATATTTACAGAATTGTCTCCTCACATAAATCAAGATGTCGTAGCTTTGCCAATAAAGAATCTCGCAAGCATTAAATCAGCAAGATACATTTACAGAAAAGCCTGAGGATTTAGATGTATGGCAAATGTGGATTACTTATTGTGTGCTGCTGTGCTCAGAGGGGTGTCTCTTGGATGGATGGGGGACATGAGCACTGCCACAGAATATGTTCGATGTTGGACTAAGCATTTATTTACAGAGATCAAAACATCCTGTTGATGTTTAGATACTCACGAAAAAAAAGCTAATCCATTTGCATCCTGTAGAAAAGAAAAACCTATTGTGCATCGCTCAGCTGGCCTGCGCTGTTTATGCCATGGGTTGTGGTAAAAATATGCAAGTGGTTAAGTGAAGACCATGTTTGGATAACTCCAAGGCCTAAGTGCATAATATGTACAGAACATTCAGCAGCGGCAACTATTCATCTCTTTACCATTCAGAGTAAACATTTACCAACCCTTAAAGTCAACTTGGCAGGGATTTAATGTTTTATTCTCACCTTCCGGCTCCTTCGGTGTCTCTCTGGCTGGGTGAGAGGGATGGAGAGGCTGTTGTGGAGTCAGAGTGTATCGGGGTGCTTCTGGTGTCTCAGGATACTCAGGGTATTGGGGTGTCTCAGGGTACTCAGGGTATTGGGGTACTTGGGGCCCACTAGGCAGCGGCAGTGAGGGCTGGGAGGATGGAAGCTGAGGGTAAGTGGGGCTCTGCTCCTCCCATGACATTCCTGTGCTCTGCAGGTCATCTTCCCCCAGCTGTCTGAGAGAAATCTGCACATCAGAGCGCGAGTAGGTATATCCATGACCAGCTGGGCAGATCTCCTTGAAATGGTCTGCAGGGTAGGCAATACACATAGCAGCAAACAATGAGCCGTAGAAAACATCACGTCCCACTCCTGGGCTCCTTAAGCTAACATAAAATGCAGCCAACGTGTAATCGTAGCTCATATTTCTGTCTGATGCTCATAGAAATACCATAAGCCATCCGTGTAATACTGTTACATTGCACGTGCTGCGCTTTACTGTGTGCCTGAAATGAAGGGGTCCAGTTTCGGCTATTGCTGCTGAACTAGCTAGCTGGCCGGCCAGTGACAGCTGTCACAGATCGCTACCAAGGAGGGGGTTTGGAAAGACTGGGAGATATGTGCACACTCAAACAGACACAGCCATGCCAGTCAAGGAAGTAGAGGATCGTCTAATACTGACTGACCTTTGAACTCTTTGGTGTAGAGGTGTGTGAGTGAGAGGCTAATGGAGGATTGGCTGGCTAGATAATAGGAGGGAGACTGCACCTCTTTGTGCCGGAGCCCAACAAACCTCAGCAATGGTGAATCCATTACAAGTAAGAAGCACTGTGTCCCCTACATGACCTGAAACCAGCAACTCTACGCCAAAAGAGTCTGGAATAGAGATACGAGTAATGACTGATATGTGGTCGCTGTAAATGCTTGTGTAAATGCAGGAAACGTGGATATGATAGGCTACTGAATGATGAATTTAAAGTGGAGGGAAATGGGGCTATATATGATCAGGAGCCACATCAGAGGAAGCGGAGCAAATACAGAATGAAAGTCAACAGGCTCCTGTTACCAAGTCACAAGTGATGGGCCTGGCTGCGTTGCTCAGAACATGGCTCTAACAGCTTGTCAGGCCATACAAAAGCCAGCGTCCGAGAAAATCTATGTCAGTTCTGGCTGAGCAGCACCATGGAGGTCTGTGTCTGTGATATCTGATCTATGACAATCCCCATGAATCACTGGCCAGTACAGACACTCCATAAAACCGGCCTGTTTCTCTCAGAGACTTTGAAGATTAGATCGGTATGAAAAAAAAAAAAGAAAAGATGACAACTACTTCCCATGTTTCACTTGGCCAAGCTATTTATTTCTGCTGTGAAGCTTTGCCGGTCTATTAGTGGGGTTTCTCTCTGAGGACTGGAGTGATAACACAAAACTGACTCCCACTATTATGTAGCCTCCAAAATATGAAAACTGTTAGGTTTTTGATCCTTTTCCACTCCAAACACATTTGGTTATTTTGAACTGCTTTACAAGTCTGGCAAAGAGCAGAATGGTGACTGAGTGGTAAATATTCTTTGTCTGTGCTTTCACTAACATTGCTAGCCCTTGCAAAAGATTACATGTGACACTTTATATCTGCAAAAGTGTTTATCTGAGCAAATCGTTTTTCAGCAAATACAGTAAAACCAGAAATGGAAGGTGGGCGAAGATAAGCCTTGAATTTAAACAGAGTGTGAGTAGCAGAGGAGAATTTAGGACACACGCAGCAGCAGTACAGGGTAACTTTTGGTTGCTGTACCTGATCCCGGCAAAGGACAGCGATCACACCCGGGGCCCCAGGCCTTGCCCACTCGGCTGCAGCAGCAGATCTGCTTGGTGATGTGTTGAGCAAGGGGCAGAGAGCATGAGCCCGCTGACACAGATCGGTAGCAGAATGCCCTCTGGTCAGACACAGCCTTGTCCGCTGGGGAGAGAAGTCGATACACCCATCACATTACAATGCAATACACGAGAAAATGGCCACAACTCTTAATTTTGAGTTAAAGAAAATTCAAAGAAAAAGCAACAATACTTACAGACACAGTGGCTCCTAGCAGGGTCTAACATGAAGCCTGGTTTACACGTGCACCTGTAGCTTCCTTTAGTGTTGAGACACTCAGCATTCTTACAGATCCCAGGCAACAGGCACTCGTTGATGTCTGTGAAATATGCGGTATGTCAGGCATGGAGTATCTAGTACATTGTGATTATGGAAATATCACAAAGTTGTGTTCTTTTCTTCTGACAAGGATTTGTTTTGGACTCCCAATGAACTCCTCAAACAAGTCTGGGGCAAGTATTGATATCAGATTTGGTGTGCTGCATTTCTCATTGTGTATACACATCTTTCATGCTTGCAGACAAGCAGAGATGATGTAAGGCTTTGGAAATAATTTTACACCTTGAAACGTGACAAAATATTGCAATGGATCGTGTAGTCAAAACCACCAGCTGCTGGGTGGCGATGAAATGTGGAAACGTTCAGGTTTCACAATTGTATGAAAGCTAGGAAGAGTAATGAGGGAAACGCGCACAAAACATTTGACCACTGTAAACCAGAATGCACTCACTCATTATCCTTCTGACTGCAAGATATTATAAGCTCTCAGGGCTGTGTTAACCTTGACTTTGAAATCTGGACAGTCAAGCAGATGCAGAAGAAATAGAAGAATGTTTAAGATTATTATCCTCCTCAACATGTTTCCTTTACAGTGTCCAATAAGGTCACTGCATCCTTAGCTTACGTCAATGAGTGCAAGTCATAAAGTGTTTTTTTCCCTCCGTTTGGCGTGAACTTTGTGCTAGAGTGATACAGTGGCCAGTGGAGTTTAGCTCCAATAGTTCCTGAGCCACTAAGCCAAATAGAGGCAAGCTAGCCAGTTAATGCGCCAGCCAGGAGCATAAGGGGACATATTTCAGGTGCTTAGTCATGTGATCACATTGGGAGCAGGCAAAGTTTGTTGTTCTACCATGTAAAACAAAGAATACATCATTAGGTCTTTTCCCATTGCTTTGACGACTGGAACCCGACAGCCTGCCACCACAGATTTTCCCAATTCTAATTAATCTGCTCATGTTTTGTTGTTTTGCTTCCTGCTGGAAAAAGTGAGGTTATAAGGGATTGGGGCTGATACATTCTGTGGACTGAAGCAAATCCAGGGAATGCCTCAATGTTCTTTTTGGTGTTTGTTGTTGTTTCTTCTTTTCTATCTCTGTTTCCCATTTGTCTTTGCACTTTTCCCTTAGGTGGAAGTAGTTCTACAGCTAAAGCTGGCCTTATAATGATAAAGCCTCCAGCCTCAATATTAGGACAATGTAAACAAGCCTGTGCCAAAGCAACCTGTTTGGATGAGTAAGGATGAGGCACATACTATGAAGACAATGAAGCAGACTACAGATGTCATGCCTGCCTGTCCTGATATTCACGCTCTAAAGAGCTAGGAACAGCAATATTCTGCATGTAGGTACTGTGGGGTTTAGTTTAAGCAGCATGATATCTGGTCAGAGTTCAGGTCAGTGTTGGGCTCAGCCTTCATCACATGGGGTCTTTAATCCATGGTTCGGTTGAGTCCCAGATTAGTGCTATTGTTACAGTCTGCTGGTGGGTTGATCGGGATTGAAACTGACTTCCATGACAACCTGTCATGACCAGCACTAATCACAACTTCTATTTTGAATGTATGCTTGGTTTCCCTCATTGACAAATAGTCCATTTGGTAAGAACTCACACGTGACCCTCAACAGCTTTTATCATAGTTGTTTTTATTGCCTAATGACACATATTGATGACTGCAATACACCCAAAAAGTTTTCAAACTCTGCTTTAAGTGTCAACCAGTCTGCTATGACCTTACTTGACCTTGACCACTGTTACCTTCTGGAAAAAAAAAGATTCACATAAACACCTGCAGAATCATTTATGTACACTGTAAAGGAAATTGGTGGCCTTACTCTCGCAATATGTATTGGCTGTTATGGCTGAAGGGAGTACCTTATGACTACTTTGGACGTTTCAAACCAGACATAACTTATGGGGCCAAAAATGCCTCCATTTAAAAACTGTGAATAGAGGGAATGAACATTCTCAAAATACAGCCAAAGCATCCATTACTGGGAAAGGTATGTTTTCATAGGCAAAGTCCTACTGTAAAAAGAATATATCAGGGTCTCAACCTGCTGACCCAGGCACTATCCCACATGATAAATATCCAAAGTCAGTGTTAAAAAATTATTAAGATTGTGTGCAGCTTTTATTAAGTTGATCCAAAATGTACGACTTCCATCAACTGTTCTTTGAAGTGGTGTATGAGCAATATGACCTGTTCCCAGCACCAGTTTACCACCCACAACACTGCACATGCATCCATGTGTGCCTTTCATCTAACAAGAACAGTTACAAATGGCCAATTCTGAGGAGCAGCTTCTGAAGATAAGGAGTTGTCTCTGAAGTCAGAGAGCAGCGTATGACTCTGATGGGGCATCTTATCTAATCGTATTGTGGACGTCACTGACCGCAAGGGTCAGTGTACAAAGAAAGCGCAGTAAATCATGGCTCAATATGGGACAAGCTTTGCTCTGTCCCAATAAAATACACTGCAAACAGCTCAGACTTTGAGTAACAGTTTGGCAAGCTAGACACCATCCTGATATTAATGACAGAACACCCCAAAAAGCAGGTTTTCGCGTCCTTGGCAGTTGTTTGCGAGATCCGAAATTAGAAATAATTTTTTGGGAATGGAGCAGCAGCTGAATGGGACAGAGACTTTAAAGCGCTCCAGTAAATATTGTGGGTAACTGTCAGCTTTGCTTTTTTGGAACTCCAAAAGTGAGCAACTGGAAGGGAGGAACATCTTGAAACAATCACAAAAGTAAAAGTATGAATAATAGAAAGATACATTTCCACCATTGTCAGCTCATTGACACACCATTGGAAAATAAGTGTGTCCGTGTCCACAGGTTTTTGTTGTATTAAACTATGTTTCCCAGCTCAAGCTCAACCTGAAAACATTAATAGGCCAAAAGTATTGCGCAGGTCAGAAAACATGTCGAACTTGCTGAACCAGTGGATGAGGCCTGTATTAGATGTAGTCAAAGCTGTCCATTGGACCGTTATGTTTTTGCACTCCATAGGCTTCAGTAAGCATTGCCCTTTGGATTATGACACCATTAATCAAGTCATTGACACAGCTCAAGTAGACTGTCAGAAAAGCTACATGTTGTTATTGAAAGTGTCAGCATCAGTTGCACTGTTCACAGATCAAGCAGTGCTTTTTCCTGTCTTTCAGCCAAGGCTTATTTGTTCATTCCAGTGCTATACTAACACCACCAACAAATATAAATAGTCTGAATTATCTAGTGGAAGACTGTCTACAGAGCTGACACTGTGGGTGGTTACTGCGTCATGAACTGAAAGCCAGCTGACAACTAAACACCTCTGGGAAGCTGCAATAGAAGAAAATACAGTGTATGATCAGGATCAACCTAAGTTTGTTTTTACAAACAGATGGCTGGGTGAGCTGGCAAACAGGTCTACAACTAAAGCTCCCTTCCACATACTCAGAGAGCCACATTTACCATAATAGCAGCCTGCTGTACCAGTCTCCTCTGAGAACCCCAAAGACCAATTAAAACAGCAGCCCTGGGTGTTTATTGGCTGCTGAACTCTGACCCTGGACCAAGGCTAATTGTAATCTTGACCTGGTTCCCATAGGGGCTAGATGTACAGCAAGGAATACTTTTATAGAGTCCATGTAAGCATGGAAGCATATGGGTAATACATTTTTACCACATCCATGCCGTTATATTTAATATAAGCTATGTTTTTGTTATGAGTAAGCTACATATTAAAATATGCACAGGGTTAAATCATGTGAATCATTCAGAAAATAGTGAACTACATACACATTCTTCAACATATTTAATAACTTACCTTGACAGTGTGTGAGATTCATCCTTTTAAAACCTTTGGAACATTCGACTTGTCCATTTGCAATCACTGCATATGCTGCAAACAGAAAGAGAATGCACAGCTTTAGAACAGCGAAATTACAGTGCCTGTGCCTCCCTGTCACAAAGCGCTGCATTCATCGCAGAGGGAGAAGAGGAGCGCAGTTTTAGGAGGGGACCATATAACTTACAGATGTGAGCATCTTGGCAAGAGGAAAAATGAGGGGACCCACAGTTCGGCCTCGGGGGACTCTAGAGTGAGTGTATGGAAATGGATCCCCATCAACCACATTTATAAGACAGCACTGCCATCCAGCAGAATGTAACGATAACACTCGACGTCATTTATAATCATATTGCCTATAACTCTCCTTAGCCCTTAGGGACAGGCGAGGAAGTGCTTACATCATAAATATGTTGAGGAATCCTACGTGACAGCCCTGACCTTTATAATCAAGCACAGTGCAAATCTATTTAAACAAAAGACTAATACTTTAACTGCACACGCTAGGAATTACAATTAATGTACGGCTCGTAGGAAGGTTTGGCCCAAAACTTCTTTTTGCTTTTTTTTGCCAAAGCAATAAAAATCATATGGCGTGTGCTTCAGGTGTGTACATTTGAGGTTCCCAGAAGTGCTGTAGTAAATAACACTGTGTGTCTGTTAATGCCCCACAGCGGCCATAGTGGCAGAGGCCTGAAAACATTACGTCATTACTCATTCGGCACCCAGTCAAGCCCCAGCAGCATGCTCCATTAAATGTATAGAGAGGTCAATGTGACTATCATATGGCAAAGAGAAAGTCTGTGTGTATCTGTGTGTTTGACAGGGAGGAAGAGATAGTGTGTATGATGTTCAATAGCTTTCCAAACAGAAACAGACTTTTGCTTCAAATAATGTTGAAAGTAGAAGATCCAACTTCTAGCTTCTTTGGAGCGAAAAATTTGGTGTTTGGGTGAGAAAAGCTCTAAGAATAATGACATGCTTTATAGCATGATGGAACTGTTTCTCACTGTTACAGTCTACTCACATTACAGTCATAAATCAGACAGCCTAAAGCAATGATGGTAGAACCTTGCTTTATATTGCTTCATAATCATGATAGCCATGACTCTGTTCTGCACTTTTAGCACATAAACACACTGGAAAAATGTTGTTTCTCCAAGATATAAAAAATATTTGAGGGCATATGCATAACAAGGTTTGCTATGTCTATGTCAGTTCAGGCAGGCTTTTCACATTCATGAAAATGAATAGGCATTTAACAACACACACATATATATATATATATATATATATAGGCATTTAACAACACACACACACATATATATCATGGTGGAATAAACCTTTGCCATCATTTTTACTTGCATCATCATCCTTTGAGAATAAACATGGAGAGAAATCATGGTATCCAAGATTTCCCACTCACAGAAAACAGGAACAAATGGCAGTGATGACAATCCTTGGTTTTCACTATGGCCAGAAAACACAATATTTTACCAAAGTACAGCATTGCTTTGAACTTGCTGCCACAGCGACGAGGGGTTGAAAACAGAGGTGACGCACTCAAGAAAATACGGTCATAGCCTTGCCAGCAAAGAAAACACATCTCTTCCCCTAGCAGAGTGTTCTGGGAAAGGAATAAAATTTGCACTGTGTTTGTGACCAAAGCTCCAGAAAACCATGGCTATCTGGACCATAAAAGACCACATCTCTATAACCCATCTATCCTCTTCAGCCACCTACGCCATTAGAAATTACAAGCAATAGCAAACACATACAATGAATCTCCAGTCTTGCTCAGCTATTTGTTTGCAAGCTCAGTCATTACTTTCCAATGTTAGTAAATGGAAGGATATGGGTTGAGGTTTCACAACAATATGTATTCTGTACATCCACTGTCAATACAAAACCCAGCAATCAGTCATGATTTTGTGTCATTTTCCCAGGAGTGACTGGAATGTGTGCCACATGGAGGCTTTCTGGGAACGCGCTCCTGGAAGCTGAGTTATGTTTTGGTCCTGCTGTGACCCAGTGGACCAGGCAGGGTCAATGTACCTGAGGGTTGACAAAACAGAAGTGGGTCAGAATGAAGGGGGCAACGGGAAAAGGGGGGAACTGTGTCAAAGCGACGCCCCTGTTCCTGTCTGCCCACCTCTTCATCTTCCTCCGCACCCTCCTAATCCCCCTTTCAAAGTTTCTGAGTAATGAGCTGTTGTGGTAGGGCGGTGGGCACACCCTCCTGCAGTGATGGGATCAGGGAAAGTCTGGTCTGAGTGACAGCAGTGCGCACATGCCAAGGGAAGCCCAGTGGGGGAGGTCCGGGTGTCTCAATAAAGCTTATTAGCAGGGAGGTGAGGACCTCGGCAGTCAGTAACAACTTCAACATGAATCTGAGAGGCAGCTCATTTCAAAACTCTGCTTGTCTTAAAATGCCTTCAGAGAAAAGACTGAGATGTTACAGTCTTGAGCAGCTTTAAAACTTGATGTAAAGTTGGTATATTTACACATATATCAGACACATTTACAGTATGTTCGTAAAACTTTATTTGCACATAGGATCTAATTTGGCACACTGTACTCAGTGTTTCCTCATGCACGTCCTGGAAATAAAAATGCTTGCTATCAGAGTTCAGTTCAGTAGATCTTTATTGTTCCCTAAGGGCAATTTGTTTGCAGTAAGGTTTAAAAACCAGCTGCTGAAACTGAGTAGAGTTTGACAACGTCCCTCGTAAACACCAGTTGCCTTCTGCAGGATGCATTTACTATAAAATACAGACAGTATTGATTGTTGCATTAATTAACAAATTTTGTAATGTTGGAGCAAGGTTGGGTAAATCCCTGTAGTTGAGGCTTGTGCGTGAATCCTGGGCTACTGTACCCGCAAATCAGAAACATGTCTTCTGAACATTCACCTCAAGAAAAGAAGAGAAGCACCAGGACTAAAAATCTGTGACAACTTGGCCATTTAATTTTCATTATTTTACAAAAAGAATTGCGGTATCATTCTCAGAGGATTTAATGATGTGTCCGTTCTCATGCTTGTTTCTACAGTCATTTGTGTAGAAACCACAGTAACACAGGCAGTGGCTTGCAAGAGAGAACTCAAGCTGCGCATCATTAGTGTCACCCTTGGCTACAAAGACTGTAGGGCCAGACTGGTCTGTATCCACTGAGGGTACAGACAGAAACTTCCAATTGTTGTCTATCCATTTAGCCCTCTTCAACAAAAGACTTTGTCACCCCTTACTAATTTATTGTCCGTCTCCATTCAGTTGTGTCGTGCATTCCACTGGCAACTGTTCAATAATATTTGCTCGAATTCCCTGACCTGAAAGTGTAATTCAAATTCCTTGGAGCTTCTTGATTGGCGGTGCTGTTCTAAATTAAATTTGAATAAATCCCTTAAGTCTCTTTTCAACATGAAAGTAAAATTTGCTTCATGCAGGGGCCTGCTGAGGGTATTCAAATGAAAGGACAGCTTATGCTAAATGAGAGAGAAAGTAAAGAGAGAAGGAGGCAGGAGGCTGAGAACGGAGGGAGTTTATAGTCAGATGAGTTCCTCAGCTGTACAGAAATCTTTAATTGCTAATTTGGTACAATCACTCTGCGGACCACCCGGCCTGAGGCCTGTTCTTCTAAGGCGATTGAGAGGTCTGGTCCATCAATCACGGGGCTCAGAGCCCTTCACCAGCTTCCCCAGAGACCTGCCTGGGAGGCAACCTCAGTGTTGGGCTTCTCCCTTTAACTGGCTGGAAAACCTGAGAACGCGTGGGAGACAGGACGGAGGAGGGATTGATGCCATCCACAGGACGGGAACAGGAGACAGTCTTTCCTTCTACTCCATTGGGGGCCACTCTATAGGAAAACAACCAATAGCAAAGCCAAGTCCTCCTTAGGACCCTTTCCAGCAATTTACTTTCTGACATGCCGCCATGGGACAAACTGGTGCCGCCAAGAGGAAACCAGGAGCAAACAGAGCTCTTTAATGACCATGGAGGGTTTCAGGTCTTTTGAGTCTAAGATGGGAAAGTCATCTCTTCTAGGCCTTTGCCTAGGCCTTGCCTTTGTCTTTTCAATGTTTTCTTGCTTTTATCTTGTATTGTTTTACCTTGAGATCCTCGGGCAGAGGTCTGTTGTCTGTTCCAGAGTCTTGGCTGAAAACTAAAGGGGACAGAGCGTTTGCTGTCAGGGCCCCGAGGCTCTGGAACAGCCTGCCCGAGGAAATCAGGTCGGCTGAGTCAGCGAACTCTTTTAAGTCCCTTCTTAAAACATACTTTTATAGGAGAGCCTTTCCCAATCTTATTTGACTTTATTTTATCCCTTTTATTTTATTCAATTTTTCTTATTTTATATTTATCTTAAACGTGTATTTTAGTCTTTTCAATGTTTTCTTGCTTTTATCTTGTATTGTTTTTGTATTGTTGTCTTTTGGGTATTATTGTCTTTACACTTGTTAAAGCACTTTGTAACTTGTTTTTGAAAAGTGCTCTACAAATAAAGATTATTATTATTATAAGTTATTTGTCTCCTTGGAACGAGCCACATTTGCCATTCTGGCACGGTCCATATCACATGCCCTGTAAATATGTGTCCCTGCTAGTGAAGCAAAGACTAATCAGTTAAGACACATGGGACTAATATCAACATCCTCCTGCTGATACAGACATAGACACAAATCTGACGTACAAGCTACGAGATATGTGCTCAATCATTAACAGCCTTAGCTGTGCATCTGTATCATATTGTCTCAACACTACCATCCCACAGTACATGTGAAGCAGCAACAAAAAGGCTTTGATGAAGAGATTATTTCATTTTTCCTGCAACATTAAATCTTTACTCAAAACATACTTTTCATTGTTTCTATTCACGAAAGTATGCATTTTACATCTCTGTTTGTAGTTTGACAATTCTGCTTAACGCCCTTGTCCAAGATGCTGATGGCAATGTGAGCCGCATCAAACACACATTTAAAACAGACCCACATTCCTCTATAATCTTCAATTCACTGTGGAATATTAACCACCTGGGCTAGTTCCAAAAGAAGGCATACCACAGTACATTCCCAATAAAAATGTGCTTAACTTAGCTTGTATCCAATTAAGAAATGCAACACAAACTTCATATCCATCTGCCTCCAACTGGGATTTATTCCGGGTAGTGGTTAGGACTGCACAGCCCTGATTAGCCACGCTGCTGCCTGGCTAATAGATTCCACCGTTCGAGTTGTGAAGGGATAATACTAAGTCAACATCAATGAATCAAATGCTGTCAAAGATATGTGACGTCTCTATCTAATCACCATGAGAAGCTGCTGTGGAGCTGTTCCAATGCATCTGTTCTCTCGCTGCCTATTTCTGAGGCAAAGTCACTGCATCTCTGGTTTGTGATGGTCATTAACAAGTGTTCATGTTTGATCACTGCTAATAAAAAGCAATAACCGCAGGCTTTGTCCCCTCGATGGATGTCATATTAAATGTCTAGGGAGTGGATGGGAGATTTGGGAGGGATGAGTTCATGTGGGAAGATCTGGAAGTCATGGAGCTCTGTGGGCCCCCTCCTTCTTTGCCTCATCTGACTTTATTGATCTAAACCTCATGAAGAATAGTGTCCTCATTACAGAGAGACACAGGGAGGGTGGGTGGGGGGAGCGAATCAGCTAGGCAACTCCCACAGACAGAGGTGGGACAGAGGGCGGGGCAAAGACAGCTCTAGGGCAGTGACATCGTGATGACCTTGATGACCTAGGGAGGCAAAGTTGGAGGAAGCCAAGGCTCCTGTGGGTGTGGTGGTTATTTTAGGCCCTGGGGATATCTGATCTGGCTCCCTGGGAAGCCTCCCAGCATTGCAAACGGGGAGAGTTACAGAGAGGGAAGCTGCCCAGCAATGACAGATGGGGAGACAAACGGCTTGTGGAATTCCATTTGTTGTGAAAGTCACAGTGAGGGAGGGGCTGCCAGCACAACAATACAGTGTCATGCCAACACTATAGAATATGTCTGACTGGGGCCTTCAGTTGATTTAGGTAAACTCAGATTACTTTACTGATAGAAATGTATCTTTAACTCATCCCCAGAGTTGCATGAACAACACTGTCCTGGCTCTTTGCTTTTCAAGGATAAACCTCATCTCAGTTTCTGCCATGTGCCTCTTATAGGACTTGTGCACCCAAATTGCCTTCTGCCCGACTCACCTACTCTCATTACTCAGTTGACTCAACAAGTTAGTGGTTAGCACTCGGATGAGGACACGTTTTGACCACCTTTACAGTCTTTGTCAGAAACTACAATCCTGGACTGAACCAGTTTGAAATTCACAGAGTGCAGTGCAGGTTTTTTTTTTAACCCAATCACATCATCAGAACCAGGGGGATGGAACTGACTACAGCCTGTTCTGGTTGATCTGAATGTCATTACCACCCAGGAATCCTCAGCATGTGACTGTTAAAGGCACTGGCTCCTAAAGGCTTGGGCTCCCACTGAGATGGGACACGCTGGCATTCACGCCTCCATAACGTCAGCCCTCCTGCATATACACACACATAATCTCCTCCTGTATTGCCACAACAGTGACATAAAGTCCTTGGTGTATAATAATAAATAATATCCAGCTATATAATGTCGTCAGTTGTGTTGAAATGCATACATTTTCACAGACTTCACAAAGAGACACAACCAGACTGCAACAACAGCAACATATTATGAGTCTATATTATTTGTATAAAGCAATGTGCTGTTGATAAGTTTATACAGAACAATTCACATCGAGTGAGGCTGATGCAAATACTGACAATGATGTGGAGGCAAAATGGGCCTAGAATAGGATAAGAGTTTGCAACAGAACTGTTTGTTGTGGTCATTTTGGCATCATCTATAAATGTAATAAAATAAATGAAATAGTAATTCTTGCTCTAAGTCAACAGTACATTTTGTAACCAGCTATAAACTGACCAATAGTAGCATTACAACCCTAAATACAAACTGGGCTTTCATGACATCATTATCACATACTCAACAAGAGACACAGGAGGCTCTTATAAAGCTACAGTATGTGACTTTTCCCCACAGTGCAAAATGACAACTGACCCATTCACTATGAAATAAAAAGAACAGCAACAGCTGTTGTCTCCAGGTTGTATATCATTCCTGTCAAACACGTAAGAAAGCATACGTCTCAGCCAGTAGGGGAAGAATGCAGCTGAAAGCGCTAGCCAAGTGTCTAAACTGAGAACAGGAGAATTCAAAGCATTTCTTTTATTAAAGCTCCCTCCAAGACTTCTGGGACATAGTACATGACTTCATTTTGACTTAATTTTTCCTCTATTTCATTCACTCTATCCCCTGCCTGCGTGTGACCTAGGACCCGGGCCTACAGTATGCTGCCCCCCAAAACATCCACAAAAATGAGCGAATGGGATAGTCACTCCACTTCTCCCTCAAACTTCAAAGGAGGGAGCAGAGAGAAACATCTGGGAGCCAAAAGAGATCATGCCGGGGACTGAGGAAGAGCGAGAATCTGGCCAAGGGAGATAGAGAGTTTGAGAGAAAAGAATGGATCAGCATCGATGATAGATGGAGGAGACAGAGAGGGATAATGTCTGCTTCTGATTAAGGTCTGGTCAGACATTACCCAGGGTACGAGGACTTTGACAGCATACTGACATCTCCGAGCATGGCCGTAGTATGTTTGCATGTAAGAGCGCCAGGAATAAAGACTGTCCCCAGATGCCACCAAAGTTGCCATGAGGCCTAAATAACACACAGAACTGTCAGGCCCAGTGAAAGTCTCCATCCACAGTGAAGGTTGTCACCACCCACCCTGCTTGCCAGTGTACAACCACCCTGCTGCTGTTTCTCAAACCTACCGCAGCTCTGGTTAGGAAGCAGCTGAATTGCGGCTGCTCATTTCCTCACTCTTTCGAGGCCACGTTGGCTCAGTTTGCCCGCAGGGTGGGTGGCACTCCTGCCAGGCTCTCATCTTCATGCTAAATGTGTTTTCATTGCTTCATGGTTTTTATGGAAGTGAAAACAGCTTCATTTTTACAACAGGATGTATGTGTAGGTCACACAGTTGAGGAGTTAGGGAATCTAATGAGTCTAATGAAGACTGCTATTTGCTAATCAACATCAGTCATCAGCATTGTTATCAATACTGCGATAAATGCTGTAAAAACCCATTCAAAACCATAAACAACTGCTTCTATGGAATACAACATATAACACTGACTAAACACAGCTGCATTTTGCTGTTTTGAAACGATGTGAATAACAGTACAAGAATACCAAGAGATCAACATAGCACAACAGAAAATAATACCAACAGAATTAGACCAGATTAGAGATGGATTAGATTTAAGTATGTAATGGAACAGAGCGGAACAAAAAATTGCTCAGATCTGATGGCTTTAGTCAGGAGGGGCTTACCTGGTTTGGTTGGACACTTTTGGCACTTGTTTAGACCCCAGGAGGCGCCCACACTTCCACAGCAATCATCCTGTTTGGTTAGGCCTGGCAGAGGCTTTCCACACTACAACAACACACATCTGTGTTAAATCTAAGGAATGAGTTTTGAGAATGCGTGTTACATGTTTGTGCATGCATGCTTCTTTGCGTGCAAATGTGTGTGCGTTGGCAAGGGCAGAATTTGTCGAAGGGTGCGTGTATACCTATCTGCAAGGACAGGGAGAACCAGACACATCTGAGACTGGTTAGATGAAGGAGGACATAAACACTGAGTCTCAGAAATAACTATGCATCTCCTGGCATGCCTCATTTAAGAACTTGGCTAATTGTGAAGAGAGATTCCTATCAGACCTTACTTATTGGATGTTTGGCCAATAGGGATTTATGAAACTAAAGAGAGGCAACAGAAATTACATTCTTCTGGAGAACACCACACTGGCATACTGGCAGGAAAGGGAAGGAAAACTACAGGCTAAAGCTTTTGTTCTCTCCTAGTTTGGGGCAAATCTATCTGAAAAATCACTGTGACTGGAGGGTTTATTTTCAAGGTCTCTGTGAAACCAAAGTATGGAGTTCAGCACAAACAAACTTGTTCAAGAAATATTTCTGGCAAAAACAACTCTGCTGCAGATCGTTTTGTTGTCGCAACTGCAAACCTAAAGGCTAAGAGTCAACCATAACTCCTTATCACAGCCAAGCAAACAGATGCAGTGTTGAGCCTCGGATAAATCAAGCTCACGCACTGCCACTTACAGTACGTCGTTCCCTGTCCTAACTTCTTTTTCTCTTCAATATGACTGTTGTGTCATCCGTACATTATCCTGGTCATGCTAAGTATAGTAGATTTGCAGTATGTGCCATACTGTATCCATATAGACCATGAAAGTCTTCCCTTTTGAGCCACAAAGAGGAGCACATGGGCTGAATTTCAAGCTTAACCTTGGTCCTCTGAACACATCCTAACTCATAACATGCCTATGTTGGGGGGGCTGGTGGAACATGAGATGACCAGTGCGGTCAGAGCTCATAAATCCTGGACATGACATAAATCATAGCCACAGGCACACTTCCTGTTTGAGAAAGCAGGTATCAGAGACGGTGATGGGATCAGAACAAAATGGTAAAACAACACTCTCTCCCACTAGTTTCAACCCCTGCGATAGGCTAGGATTGGCCAGGTGGCTTACATCAGCTAGTGTTGACAGCGTACAGTGTGTTTTAATGACTTAACACAATACCTGTCCATCGACTGTTTCCTGAAAGCATCTTCCTACATGTCCATTCTGACGGCTGTGCGGCCTGGCTTGGCCATGGCCATTCCCACTGGCATGTGGGTGCCTGCTGTTATGATCATTGGTGGTTTCATGTCCATTCCCAGGCTGGGAGCGCTGCTGGACAGAGTGAGCCCCCTCTGTGGTGGCCGGTCTCTGCCCAGGCTGGACCCGAGCTACTTGGTGGATGTGGACTTCGGCCTCTGGGGGGTGATGAATGTGGACGTTCACCAAGGATGGGTGGAGTGACACTGGAAAAGGACAGACCCACAGTTTATACAATATAGTGGATAGTTTATAGTTTCAAATTTTTTGAATAATGCAAGTGGAAGCATCCTCAACCAAGGGATAAAATTTGTATATACATACTGCAGTTTGCGAGCTATCAGCTAACATCCTGCACAAACTTAACACCACACCACACACTTAGCTTACTTCATCACAAAGTTATGAGATCTACATGGGGAATTCCCGGCAGAAAAGACACAATTAAGATACTACAAAATAACAACAACAACACAAAGAGTTTCAGATTCTCTGGTTTAAATCAAATCATCTTAAAGACCAAAAACAGATTTGTTGAGGAGTTGAGAAGATGTTGCAATGTAGAGAATGCGCTCTTTTGTCCTTCTGACAGAGAGGAAGCATCTATCTTCAGGGAGTGCCAGGGTTTTTTCCCAGAATCCTGACCCACTCTCATAAATCATAGTCTTACAGACAGACAGCAGGGAGAGTCCAAGGAGAAGAAGTGGACCTTATCAAGAGCCCTGGACATGAAACTGTCTCTGTACGTATATAAAGCATATGGACAGGAAGGTTCATTTCTTTGTTTTGTCATGACAATACAGACATTGGACTCATGCCATAATTATGATTATTCATAAAATTTAATTCAAAATAGGAGGATGAACGATTTCTCAGTGGAATTTAAATGATCTAAGACAAGGCTTCTGCTTCTACTTACCGTTAAACAGAGCGAGATGCTGAGCCAGATGCAAGGAGAAAATAAAAAATGATATCAGAGCAGAGATGTAAAGTGAGCACATCTTTCACTTTTATATTCTTTCTTATAACTTCATGATCATGCCTTGCTATGTTTCTAATATCCACTTCTGTTTGATAAAAGCAGCATTGTGCGAACAGTATGAGGACCTCCACTGAGTCATCCATTACTAGTTCTGCTCAAAATAGAGTCTGACCTCCACTGCTGTCCAACACAGGCAGAGAGTAAACAGTGTTCACAATCAAGGAGTAGACTTGTATTTAAAAAGGTGTGTGTGACCCGATCTTTAAAGTAAAATTTGGCACATTTTATGTGGATATCCAATCAGGTTTGTTGGTAAATGCAGTATATTAAAGTCCTAAATATTAGAGTCCTCAGCATATGTTATATTGACAGAGACATCTAAGTAGTTCTTCCTGCATCCAGCACCGTCGTTTGATGTGACAGTGACATAGTTGGAGGCAAGGAAGAACTACAGGCTACTTCAGCTTGGAATTCTAGCTTCTTCGTCTAGGTGGCCAGGAGTTGCACTCTAGATGCCGCGAAGTTGGACAAATGTTTTAATAAGCACGTAAAGCCAAAGATGGTGGTTATCCTGCCCCTCCCACTAGAAAGCCAATTGTCTACATATTTCTGTCTACATTGTCTACATAACATATTTCAGCCAATTGTGTGGTTCCACTAACGTAAGGGTCTGTTTTTCGTGGTAGTAGTGATGTATGTGTAGTAGAAGTATAACCAGTTGGGAAAAACGCTTTTTAAACCTTATTTTGGGTTGTCATTTTTTCAGCGATTTTTATTAGATTTTACTGGTGATTCTATACATGTTTTTATGTCCCGGTGAGTGAAAGTGCAGTTCTGGATCCGTTAACAGTGTGACAGCTGTAGTAATATACAGCTTATCGCACTACTGTCTGTGTCTCATTAAATCATACACACAGAATTGTCCAACTTATATCTGTGGACACGTTTCTACGGTGTTTGTATGCGCAAAATACAGCGTTATCAACTGGTATTGCTAACATTGGCTAGAAGAGTCCATCTCGGTTTTCTGACCTAAATCTGTTGTTGTACTAGAACGCAGTCAACTGACGTCATTCCCGACTACCAAGGTTATCAGATCCCACCACGAACATATCAGGAGCTCACGTGCAATGCATCCTGGTACATGTAGGCACTGCTGACAAGGCTCCGTTATCAGGAGAACTTTGCTTTCTTGATCAATACAGAACACAGTGACAAAATTATTTACCATTGACACTGAATGGACATCCAAATAAAAAGTGCCAAATTTTCTCTGTAAAAGAGGTCAGTGGAAAGGCAGCATTTTTTCACAGTGCTGGGGGATCACCTTGCTGATTGGACAGTGGGAGAGTGTACATGGAGTGGGAGGGAGATTTTGGTCTCTGGTGGCTGGCATCCTTGTGGCTGTGAGGAGTAGGTCTGGCAGGAGGCGGAACTGGCAGGTGGCAAAACTTCCCTGTTGAGTTTGATGGACACCAGCACAGGTCTCTGCCAATGCATTTGCCTCCATTAAGACAGGGTATCTGACAGAAGACTGCAGGGAGGAAGAAGAGAGAAAGAATGTGTCAAAGGTAAAGAGAAAAAGATGAGGAAGTTATTAGAAGTGAGATATTTGTTAGCATATATAACATGTCACATTTAATTGCACAGATTTATGCAACTTCATACACAAAGATCTGGTAATAACAAACAGAGGGGGTAGTCCTAATAGGAAGGGCATGTGCTGAGGCTTCATGTGGACAGGCTTTGTTTGCAAATGGTTAGTGATGGTCATGCTGTTCTCTACTTTGGCACTACCAGGCACCTCATTCCGCATTTACAAAGTTTCCATGTGCCAAGGACGTTTTCCTGAGGGCAGAGCCATGGCACTGCCCCTCATGCTCCACCTCCTTCATTGGCATGTTTTGCCTCACATTAGTAATTACATACTCCTGTGCAGGGTGATGATTGGTGATTCATCCTGTAATAATTCAGAGAAAATAACGAGTGTGGATATCTGTATAGAACACTTGTTTGTATGGCTTTCCCCAACTATCATATTATGTACAAAATTTCAAAGGAGGGCAACTGACTGTTAACCGTGTAAGTAAATTGAATCCCAGAACGTGCTCAGTCTGATTTATGGTTTGCAATTTACCCTGGGGAGAGAAAGAGAGGAAAGTCCTGCACTGGCCAGATGGTGCTTGACAGTACTGCTTTCACAGCCCTTTTGGTCTTATCTTTTGGGATAACGGATGGGTGCCAGCCCAGCACCATACATACCTGAGTCTGCTCTCATCTACAGGTTAGCTCTGACCTGACCTCATCTAACTCAAAACATCAAAGACTATCAAATGAAAAAAATCCATCCAACCATGACGAATAAGAAAAAACATTTGGGGGCAGAAAGGATGAAAAAGCAAAGCACTGCACTTTTCCGGCTCAGCAGTACCACACACCACAAAAATGAGGACTGCTTTACAAGACAGTTTGAGATACAGATGGCCCACATACTATGAGATGAAAGACGAAAGTGGATGCTAGTGATGGAAACATGCTGTGAGCTGCATGCTCTCTGTCTCATCGAGACAGACAGTAACACACTAACAGGGTGCAAACAGGGAACAGAGAGACGCTGGACAGTCTTGATGGCATGTAGGGAATGAGCTTCCCGTCACATTGCATTTACAACAGAAAGACTGGAGGAGGAAGAGGAGGAAGAGAGGGAGGGATGAAATCAGAATAGAAGAGTAACAGGGAATGAAAGGTATTAGGAGAGGAGATTGTGAATAGAATAGATTGAAAACAGAAACTACAGTAATGGAGAGAAAGAGGAAAAAGAGGTGGAAAGACAGACGGAGAGACTGAGAAAGGTCCAGTGGAGGTGTCCCCGCACACAGGAAGGCCTGCTGTGATTAGACATGCTAGTTAAATTATCAGCTCAAAGAGGCTATTAAATCCTCTCAATGTGGGATGCAGGTCTGCACTGGTCTGTGTCAGGCCAATCCCACACGGCATGGGGCAGGAACTATTCTTAGACAACAACCTACTGTCGACTCTGCACACCACACTCCCTGTCTGACTATCTGTCTGTCCATTTAACAACACACATACGCACACGCTTCTCACTCAATAAAGACTTCTACACAATCTAATATCAGGCTTTAAAGTAAGTGTTGTACACAGGGTGCGTATCAAGGGAGCCTGTTGTAATTATCCAGCCAGATTTTACTGCACCGTGTAAGGAGCATAACAACAGCATGAGACAACTGTCTGCTGTCCACTTGACATTCCTCGACGAACACGCACACTCAAGCAATAACAGGATGCAAGCCTAAATAGAAAGCAATCTCTTTTTAGCACACTTTTACAACACACGCTTTTACATAATGAAGGGGACTTTTAAAGAATTAAAAATGGGGCATAAAAACAAACCCCTCCTCAGGATAAAGCGGAGGTGCCAGGAATGTAATCTTGTGGAAGGCCTCTGGCAGGACGCTGAAGTGTTTGGAATATCTAGACCATGTTCCAAAGCCCCATTAATGGGCACATAAATCTGCAACATCATCCTGTTTATATATTCATAAGTCAGCTTGGTCCACCCCAAAGAGCCTTGTGTACTTAGGTTAAGGTTGGTTGCATGTTTAGGTTGTATGTCTGTTTGAGTTTGTATGTGAGTTGTATGTGTATGTGTGGTACATGCACCCTCTAATCCACAAGTAGTAATTGGTCTGAGCCTAAGCTAGACCCTTAAAACTGTTGAGAAAACTAAGAAACATGCGGGGGTACGACTCTCCCCTTGGAATTGACCGCCCCCCACCCTTCCCATGGACACTCCTGTGTGAATTTGGAGCAAAGCCCCCCGGATAAATGAAAGGTTTAATGTAATCCCTATAAAATCCTGTTCATGCTGCTACTCTTTCTCTCTTTCTGCCTCTTCTCTTTCTTTCGCTCCTGCTCTCCCAGGGAGCATGTTAAATGGTTAACGGTGGGGCCAACCGCGAGGTGTAAACCGCAAAAAATGGGGCTAAGTGTTGGGAGCGTGGGACCACCGGCTCCACGTGTGTGTGCGCAAGGGACGATTAGCCTCCTTTTACAGAGCCCGCTTTTAATCTGGTATACCCTCGTCTCTGACGCTTTCCCTGTCTCTTTTTCTCTTTGGCAGTGAGAGTTTTTAGCGCAGTTCTCAGCTTTCATCTCCACCACTCTGCCTCCTGTCTGAGCTTGGTATTCAGAACAGACAGCATGCCACTGGAAACCCATTTTGTGAAAGCTTACCCCATAAAAAAAGGAATGAGAAAGTAGGATGGAGACACGGGGGAAATGTGTGAGAATCGAAAAGTAAGCAAGAGAGACAATAAGAGAGAGGGGAAGAGAAGTGAAAAGAAGAAGAAAGGATGACAAGCAGACAAGAAGGGTAAATGATAATCAGAGGGCCCGGAGTTGTCACTCACAGAGTCGGAAGCCCTGGTTCTTTGGCTGCTGCTGCTGGTGCGAGTTCTCGCTGTAGACTGTGGTGATGTCCCCCTTCTCACAGTTGTTGTAGCAGCGCCCACCACTGCACACCCTGTGGCACCGCATGGGCGTGAAGACGATCTTGATGCGGTCCAGGTTGGAGGTGAGGTTGGCCCCTGGAAAACACACACACACCTGGGTGAGAAGGAGCAGCAGCAGCAGCAGAGTCAGGCTGGAGACGAGCTGCATCCTTCCTCCTTCAGCCTCACTGTGACACACTCCCCATCTGGGCAAAGGGAGTTTTATAAGTGTGCGAGGGTGTGTGCTGACGGCTGGCCAGTGGCACGCTGCAGCTGAATGAGCGATGTGCCACAGGCCAGTAAATGAGGGAGTGAATACTATTAGGTATCGGGCTAGCCTCCAAGCCCTTTATCTTTCGGAGAAGGTGTTTTGGATGTGTGTATGTGTGAAGGAGACAAAGAGAGTGTGAGTGCAAGTGAATGTTGTGTAATGGTGGGAAGCTGTTCAACAGCCGTTGCTCTGGTACAGGGCTAAAAAACAAGGGAAGCTTCAACAGCAGACAGCTGTGTATGCTGCATAGTGGATCAGAGGATGAAGTAGTGAGGGGAGAATAAAAATTAGGAAAGACGAGATCACATTTCTTTTTGTTGTGGGTAGAGGCGCCAAGGTTCAGTGCCTGTCATGTCAGAGAGGTGACAGTGCAGATTCCCAAAGATATCAAGCATGTAGCTGTGCACACACACTAGAACACACACGCTGCCCATACTCCTCTCCAGGTGATTGTGGACCAGCAGAGCACACACACACACACGCTCACACACTGTGTGCAGCTTTGATATTAAACGTCTGTCTGGTCTGATGAGGACCACATAGGGGGTGGGGTGGGTAGCCATTGGGAGAAGGGAAGTGCAGCCTGGGAAGCAGCCATTTTTTTTTCTTGTGGCTAATGTTCCAGTTAACGATGACACCATACATGTGTATTTATGTATCCCAGCCTGTGTGAATAGATCCAGAATGGCCTGTGTTTGTTTTGATGTGGATAGGGAGAGTGGAAATGTTAAATATGCACATAAGGTGAGAAGAGATCAGTAAAGTTTTATGATATTCATTTCACAGTGTGGAATAGATATTTAAATGTATTAGTTCTTACCTGCTGGTAATAATGCATTGTTGAACTGTCCGTGTAGCTGGCTGTCGCTGGTAGGCTTGTGAGTGTTAAAGGAGTGCACAATACTATGCCCATTTCTGTGTCCGTGCCAGTTTCTGTGCTCATTGCCATATCCGTCAGTGTAGCCATTGCCACTGGGTAGAGCGTTGGATGTTATAGGTCCAGAGGATGATGGATAACGTTTCACAGTGCGTGAGGTCCCAGTCTGCTGAGAGGAGGAGTCAGGGGGTCCCCGTCTCACTTGGGTCCTGTCAATCACATCACAAGACCATAAACATATGACCTCAGACAAACGCTAATGTCCCACACTTACATACACTCACAAAGATACACCCATCAGCAACGTATGTGCATCACCGTGAAATCTGTTTAAACGTGGTCACTGTGTGCAACAGAAAATAATATTCCTAAGAGAAAAACAGGCTGTCTTAGGTCATTGCTTTGCTTAATTGATTTTATAGATGAGACACAATGATTTGGAAATAATTAGTTTGAATTAAATTAATAAAACCATATCATTTTTAAGCACATAGGGTTTCTCAACTAACATCTGCTGTAAGTCAGCCATGACCCTCACTGATTAATGAAAGATTCAGTTTGACAGTAAAGACATTTCACAAGAGAAGATTTTTCATCACTGATTAACAAAAAAATAAATTATCAGGCAACCAAAGGGAAATAAACCCAAAGGTCCTTTGTGTGTGAGTGGCAGGTCTGTTTTCCTCAGAGGAAAGTGTGTGATTAGACACATTAGATCTTTCCATCAGGACTACAAAACCTTTCCATCACCCATTGTGTCTGCTTGACTAGATTATGAACTCCCTGTTCCGTCTGACTGTGGCCAACCAGGGAGCAACATCCTGAGTGTTGCACCGGACTGGAGGAAGTATTAAAACTAGGGTCGAAGAACAAAGCTCGACCAGGGCTGCAAAGGGCACGTTTTTCACCGGTGAGCATTTGATTTGGGTCAATTACTGAGCCTGTGTTGCATGACCTGGAAGCTGAGCTCATGTGAGCGACCTGGGGGAGGCGCGTGCCTCTCAGACAGACAGGCGGACGGGCCTACCTTTGCTCTGGGAGTCTAAGAAAGCTTGAGTGCTGAGATTCAGCCCTGCAAAAAACATCTGGCTCCCACTGATCTGCCCTGACAGACAGTCAGCAGAGCAAGACAAAGATGAACCATGCCGGGTAGATCAGAAGAACAGTTCTACAAAGCACACCTGTAGCCCTGTAAGGTAATTGGGGCTGTAATGAAACCCTAAAAGAGGTTATAAACCATGCATTAACATTTATTACAAGTGGTTTTTAGCCATACACTACATATTTACAAATTGACCCACAGACACACAAAGGTAATCAGGCAAATAAACACATATGTGTACACACACTCGCATACACAAACACACAATCACACACACGCTACAGCTAGCACAGCTGGTAGATGTAGCACAAGCCCATGCATGTCTCTTTATTCACAGAGTACAAAACCACATTCCCGCTGCCAATGGGATAAGGACACTAAATGAGAAGGGGAAAAGGGAGACAAACATTTGATAATGGTCTCTCACGTCATCTTTTCGAAAGACGACAGGCAGCACCTATAGCTGACAGCTGCTGACCCAGATCCTGACTCTCGAGTGCGGGTCCTGGGAATAGGATGTGACACAGGGAAACAAGGGGTGCCAGTGTCAAGGTGGTAAGGACTTATAGGAGGTGGTTAAACCACTGCTCACTCCAAATTATGATGTTTTTTTCCATAGCTAACAGTGACACCTGGCCTGCATGCATCCTGCCTCACTTCCTAGGCTTAGCCAGATGTTGCTCCTTCTGTCTCTCTCCCTTTCAATGGCAAAGTGACTTCCTCCCAGCATGAGCTCACCGCTGCCCTCTCTGCCTGCAGATCTGGGGGGCCCGCGAGGGCAAGAACAACTTAAACTGAACGTTTGATGTCATCATTAGGAACTTCAAGGCGATCCAAGGAGGAACCATTGCCCCGCCTTGTTCTGGGTGACTTGAAAGCAATTTTGAAGACCTCTGCCAAGATTACATGGAACATGGTTTGAACAGACAGATGGAAAAAATGTTTTGGGTATCAAATGGTGGCCATAAAGTTTTAAATAAGTCACTGATGGTGATGATAAGAAAGCTGCTGAATGAGTATATGGTACAACAACATGAGAAATGAGTAAATAAAAGGATTGGAAAAATATACTTAATTTATAAAACATGTCTTTCGTAAAAGTACTAACTGCTAACTGAAAGCTTATATATTAAGAAGTTGTAAGTTGAGTGGTCTTCAATATTAGTATGTTATGATCAGATTCAGTTCCCCTAAGCCCTATGAAATTTTTTTTAGCTCCCATAAGCTTATTATTTTGGAATTTATAACCTGCAACTTTACTTTTTTGGTTCACTTTCACAGTTCTCGTCAGCATTGTCGGTGAAAAAGCTTTGACCAGCACCAAACAGCAGACAGACAAAGTTGTGGTTTTAGGGACACTCACCTGCTGTAACTATTTCTTGACAAATACCAGTTTAATACACCCAGTACTTTAGTGCTGTGTTTTGGGCTGCAGCACTAACTGTCTAGAAACCTCACTACGACAATAAAACTCTGAGGAGTCACTGCTCCAGGCCGATGTTTGCCAAGAAATAGGTATGGCATGAAATTCCTGCTAAAGACAGAAAACAAGATACATATTAATTAGTGAGCTGTAGATGTGTTGGTAGGCATATTTTTTAACTTTGGTGAATTCCAGGCTGGCCTTTTCCCTCTGCCTCGATTCTTTATTATAAACTAAGGTAATTGCCAGCTGGCTCTAAATCCATACATAACAATCGCCAAATAAAAAGCATTATGGACATGCATGATGTTGAAATTATGAAGCCAAATCATAGTTTATTATTTAGACACTTTGATTACATTAGGGAGATTTACTTGCAAACAGTTTGAGGCTTGACTGGGTTTAGTACGTGACATGTCTTCATGTTCAGAACATTTGCTCAATAATTAACCCTAACCCTAAACCATTCAAAGAGAAATAATCAGCTCTTATACACTGATAAATCTCAGTCCAAACACTTGATCAAAGCGTCTGATAACAAAGGAGGCCTCAAACAAAGACATAAAGTCATTGGCGTTATCCACTTTCACCCATCATCATTCATCGCACATGCACAGAAAGCAATTAGAACTTAACCTCATCACATTCGAGGAAATTACAAATCACAATGATGGCCAAGAATCCACACTGTGCACGAAACAACTGTGAAGCTTCCAATGCATTGCAAAAGCATTATTTGGCACTCAGTTACCATATATCTTTGAACTCTTTGCGGCATTACAACATGTGTATATTAGCTCTCTTAAAGGCATGACAGGCAACATGAATGGCAGTTCCAGCCGCACCTCTTGACCCAGATGAGTTGGAGAGGAGGCATTTCTGGAGAACAAAAAGCAGACAGTCGAACACTAAAACACAAGGCAGAACTAAGAACTGGAGGACAGTCAAAAGGGCTATAAAGCCTCTGATCTCTTAGCTTCTACTGATGCTGTACATAAACCATGTTGTTAATAGAACCCGATGAATTACGCCACCAAGCACAATGCAAGGTGTACTTTGAAGTTTTGATGAGAGTGCATTGTGGGGGAGGGGAGGATTGCATGGAGAAATTAAGTTAAGTGGCTTTGTTTAAGTGCCAGGAAACCCCTGTAGTGGGAGCTTGGAAAACACCACTTCCCATCAACCCAGTGGTGACTGTGTTGTTTCGTAAAGTTGTCCACTGGGAAACAGGAGCCGCTTAGATGGACAGGGAAATTCTGGAATTTCCTCTTCACCTCGAACACTCAATTACTCACACATTCATACACACATTGGCCCAGATCCCCAGGAATTGTTTACATCGTAAACCATCACCATAGCCCATCAACTCATGACAAGGCTGGAACAGTGTTTATGTGAAGCACTACACAGTAACGTATGGGCCACAGCTGATTCATTCACTAGGAGTTCAGTCACTCTCCATAGGAAATAAAGCATTTTTGTCAGTTAGAACTAATGTATTTCAGACGGACAACCTAGATTTTTCTGGGCTTAGGATGGCAAGTAGTTTGGAAAGAGGTAAAGGATTGTGATATTAAATGGTTTTTCACTGACCCTCTCAGCACTTGAAGCTCAGTACAAGTGTACCTTGGCAAAGCTCATTTTTCATTTTGATTTGTTTGAGAATACCAAAGACGGAGTCCACATCTAATGGCTTGGATTCTTGGCTTATGGCAGCTAATGCTGAAAATAGACTGATATGAAGAGCTTGTCTGGTAGTTGGATGGAGCCATTTGGCTTTGAACATATGGTCTAAACAAGACATCCAGACAGCAGGCAGAAGTGTCTGACATGAGCATTCTAGTCTGGGTCACACCGCACAACCCGATAGCGCCCAGTCTTGTCCCTGTGTCTCATCTCAGTTCTCAATGTGTTGGACTGGACATGACCTCCAGAGTGACGAGTAGTAAACCTCTGGAACCATCATTAGATTTACAAGCAATCAACACAGGAGTTGTTCTATTCTGCTGAGGAAAATCGAGTCATTTTTCTTTTTATTTAAACAAAATGTTTAATGGTTCCATTTACCTCTTTCCAACACGGAGCGTCAGCCAAAAACCCTTATTACATAAGAACTGCACATAATTAGGGCAATTTGAAGGCTACTTGGTAAATGGGAAAGTAAATGACGGTCATCAAAGACCAAGTGTAAATCAAAGTTTACACGCATTCATCTCATTCAGATAAAGCGTCAAAGACTATTGTTCATTTCAAAGTTTGCACTTGGATATGCAGATCATCAGTCTAACTGGAGGGAACAGCAGAAATATATAAAAAATTGTGCAAACAGCAGCTGAAACAATGAAAACTTTGTACTGCTGAACCACTGCAAACACTGTCAGCAACAAAGGAAGAGAAGATTTATGAGTGTATTTAGGACACAGTCAAAGAGAGACGACTGTGAGCTATAAGCAGCACTGTGTGAGGGTGTGACGGACCACCGTCACTACGGTTGAGTATGAGCTGTGACTGCTATACCAATAAGCCTGGCTCTTTGGCGTTGCAGTCAAGTTGCATGTTTGGTACCCCGTAGACCTGGGTTCAAATCTGGGTGGGGTGACTGCTCTTGCCTTTCCGTCACAGAGGGGTACAAACTATTTTTGGATGCAACAAAGCATATTGGTCCTATTCCAAAGCAATGTGTT